ACCATTTTCGAGGTATTTGAAACCGAATTTTAAAATTTGAAAAAAATTGACGAAAATGACGATTTTTCCTTTCCCCCCCCCGTTACCGATTTTTCTGAAATTTTGAAATTCATTAAAGTATATTTTAGGTGCTCAAATGAATTGTTTTCATCAAAGAATGTAATTCTATTAAGTTTTGAACCATTTCGAGGTATTTGAAACCGAATTTTTAAATTTCAAAAAATTGACGAAAATTACCTTTGGTCCCTCGTTACCGATTTTTCTGAAATTTTGAAATTGTTTAAGCTTTTTTTTGCGGAGATTAATAAAATCAATAAAATTTTTAACATATATACTGTAACCAGTGACACTTGACCCAGTGTTTCACTTGAAGCATTTTTCAAGTATTTTGTAACATACATATATATAAAAATATATACGTACGATTAGCATACGATACGGTGGCCCAGTGGTTAAAGTTACGGGCTACCAGGTTGTAAGCGCAGGTTCGAATCCTGCATGGGAAGGGTTCGATTTTCCACCTGAAATTACTTTTTAATTCAATATTCGTCGAAAAGGATTTAGTCAAATAAAGAACAATAGCTTTCGACAAATGATGTGGTGGTCTAGTGGTTTAAGCGTTCGTCTCTTAACCCGAGGACCGACGTTTCAACTCCTGGCAGTGCAAACAAAATTAGCCTGAAAAATTTCGGTGTGATTTGGAAACTTTAAAACAGTTAAAAGACTCCTCGGACATTCGGAAAACTGTAAATTGAAAAAAGATAGCAATAAAAAAACTGAAAAAAAATTCTTGCGTTCAAATGTATTTAAAAATTAAAAAAAAGCACAAGTAAAAAAATTTTAAAAACATGTGTCTTCTAAAAACACTGAAAATTAAAAGTCGGAACTGAAAAGTTTAAAAATTTCCCGCTTTTAAAAAACTCATGTTCACAGTAAATTAATTTTTTTTCACGAAAATTTGACAGGGTGATTTTTTCGAGAGTGAAAAAATTTAATTTTTTTCACTTTTTTGAAATTCTCTTAGATTTTTTTTCGACGCGAAAGTATTTTGTCTTGGGCTACCTGTGTCTGTCTTGGGCTACCTGTGTCTGGCTTGACACAGGTAGCCCAAGACAAAATACTTTCGCGTCGAAAAAAAAATCTAAGAGATTTTCAAAAAAGTGAAAAAAATTGAATTTTTTCAGTCTCGAGAAAATCACCCTGTCAAATTTTGGTGAAAAAAAATTAAGGTAAGTAAACATGAGTTTTTTAAAAGCGGACTTTTAATTTTCAGTCTTTCTAGAAGACATATGTTTTTAAAATTTTTTTACTTGTGCTTTTTTCTCAATTTTCAAGTACATTTGAACGCGAGAATTTTTTTTCAGTTTTTTCATTTCAAACTTTTTTCAATTTACAGTCTTTCCGAAAGTCCGAGGATTCTTTTAGCTGCTTTAAGATTTCCAAATCACACCGAAATTTTTCAGACTAATTTTTTTGCATTGCCAGGAGTTGAAACGTCTGTCCTCGGATTGAGAGACGAACGCCTTAACCACTAGACCACCACATCATTTGGCGAAAGCTATTGTTCTTTATCTGACTAAATCCTTTTCGACGAATTTTGAATTCAAATAGTAACTTCGGGTGGAAAAATCGAATCTTTCCCATGCAAGATTCGAACCTACGCTTACTACCTGGTAGCCCGTAGCCTTAACCACTCGGCCACCGGAATAATATATATCATGTAGGGTTGGTATAAACATAGCATCCGCGGTGGCTCAGTGGTTAAGGCCTTGGACTACCAGGTTGTAAATTCTGCCATTTCCCATAAAAATTTGTCATCTCCCCCAAAAAAATTTTAAGAGAATTTCTAAAAAGTGAAAAAATATACGTTTTTTCCGTCTCGAGAAAATCAAGCTGTCACCACTAGACCACCACTAGAAGTACACAGAGACCAAAAAACGCAGTGCGTGGTTATAATTTTAAGAGTCGAAGGTTTAGTATATCTCCATATTCTCAATGTGGTGATTGTGGGACCCTTACCATTTCAAAAACATTTGAAGCCACTTTTGGCATGATAATAAAGTTTTCAAGGTGTCAATTTTTGCAAAAAGGTAAGGGGTACCGAAAAACCAAAGAGATTAGTCTTAGGAAACATTTTAAGCCATTTACAGCATTTTTAGAAAATTTTTTTCAAATATGCTCAAAAACGAAAGAAATTTGTCTTAGTAAATATTTGAAGCCATTTTCAACATATTAACAGATGGGGTAAATATTTGGCGAGTTCCGAGTCTCTACAATTGACTCTATAGACTATATACAGTTGCAAGTTTCGACGGACTCTACAATACGAAGACCCGTATAACATTAACTTCCTTATTATTTAATAATAAATGCATTGAACATTTTAAACTAGTGTATATGTCAAAATTTTAATTTTAATAAAATTTTAAAAAACTAGTATTTATCTTTTTCCTTGCGGTCCGAATTCATATTTTACGCGAGCGCTCTGTGATGTGTCTTGGAACAAGACAGTTGATAAGAGAGCTCGATGTTAATATCTCGGTTCCTTTCATGGGAAAGCTTTTAGAACCTGTTGATTGGGCGAAAGATCTAGGAATGTTGATGGACAAACACCTAAGTTATGACAAACATATCTCTAAAGTAGTATCATCTTGCCTCCACAAATTGTGCCAGATAAACCGAGTTAAAAACAACTTCGATAAGAGCACACTCACCATGATAATATCCTCGTTAGTGATCAATAAAATGTTATATTGCTCCACAGTGTGGTCAAATACAACAAATGCTAACATGAAGAAACTTCAATCGGTTCAAAATTTTGCAAGTAAAATAATCACAGGATCTAAGAAATATGATCATGTAACCCCATTACTTAAAGATCTGGAGTGGCTGACTGTCGACAAATTGCTCTATTTCCGTGATGCGGTTATGACTTATAAATGCATGAACACTTTAGCGCCAAAATACCTCTGTGATATGTTCGAGAAGAGAACTTCTATTCATAATAGGTCAACTAGGTATTGCAACTTAGTACAAATACCCCGGTTCAAAACAAGTACAGGTCAACGGTCATTTGCGTATAGAGGAGCTGTGATTTGGAACAACCTAGATAGTAAACTGAAGGAATGTACATCACTTAAGACTTTTAAAACTCATTTGAAAGATCATTTACTGTCATTTTAGCCTGTTATCGACATTGTAAATACTATTAGCTTTTTAACATTCTATTAAACATAGTTTAGTTTTAATTGTAAATTATCCAGTATAATATAATTATTTCTTAAATATTGTAAATAGGTTCTGAAAAACCCTTCTGGGAGAAACTATTAAAATTATCTTATCTTATCTTATCTTATGAGGTCGTACGGACCGCGCGGGATTTAAAAGCACAGAGCCAACGCTAAAATATGAATTCGGACCGCAAGAAAAAAATCTATTATTTACCAGTTTAGTCGGTCCGTATAGGGAAATATTTCCCTCGGTCTCAAAAACGTTGAGACATTGCGAAATATTTCCCTATACGGACCTCCAATCTAGTAAATAACATATATATATATATATATTTTTAAAAACCACCAATACTGATATATGTCAAAATTTGAAAATTTAAAAAATTTTTAAAATCACCAGTATATATGAATGAAACTTGAAAATTTTAAAAATAGCTGGGTGTGTGTGAAAATCTTTAAGGAATTTTAAGAATTTTGAAAATTTGAAAAACCACCAACAAATATGTCAAACATTTTACAATTTGAAAAACACTAGTATATGTGCTAAAAATTTTAAGATTTTAGTATAACGAAACACTGGTATATATGTAGAAATTGTAGAAACACTAAAATGTGTGTAGAAAATGTGTGAAAATCTTTAAAAATTTTAAATTTTAAAATTATCTACAGTATGTAAAAAATTTGAAAATTCGAAAAATATAGAAAAATTTCCCCCTTTCAAAAAACTAACTTTCACCTACATTGATGTTTTGCAGTGGCGTAGCCAGGGTAGAAAATTTGGGGGGGCAACCAGTGAGTGGGGAGGCCACAAACTACGTAGGGGGGTCCGGGGGCATGCTCCCCCGGGGAAAATTTTGGATTTCTAAGGCTTGGAAACGCCATTTCTTGCATTCTGATACGAGCTTTTAAAAGTAATCATAGGGTTACAAATAGCAAAATTCTGTCATTATTACATTAGAACAACGAACAATACACGTGAAAATCTCTTTAGATTTACTGATTACTCGTTGTTTACCTAACTTGACCCCCCCTCCTCATATTCTGCTGGATTTAAACATATCATGAGAACGGTTTTAAAGACCATTGGGGGGGCGACCGCCCCCCTTTGCCCCCCCTTGGCTACGCCCCTGATGTTTTGTTTCAATTTTTACACGAAAATTTGACAGCAGGTTGATTTTCTTGAGACTGAAAAAATTTATATTTTGAAAGTGAGATTTCATGAAAGCGGGAAATCTTTTTTCACGACTTTTTAATTTTTAATCTTTTTAGAAGACACATGTTTTTAAATTCTTTTGTAGAAAAATCCACAACGTTTAAGAACGCACTGGGTATGACTCCAAAAGTGGAAGGTTCAGTATATATGACATTGCTCAATGCGGTGATTGTGAGATTATTATACACGTTCCTGCGACAGCAATAAGTTTTTTAATACTTAAATGCAAAATTGACGACTTTTTCACTTCCAAAAACCGATCAAATATGCTCAAAAGCTAAAGGGATTTGTCTCAAAATTTTACATAGCTATATATACTACATTTTCAGTAACATTTAAATTTTTAAAATTCTAAAGATTTTAAAAATTTTTTTAAATTTTAAAATTTTTCATTTTTTGACACATACGTGTTTTTTAATTTTTTTTTCATATATTCTAGTGTTTTTTAAAATGTAGAAAAATTTTGGAATATGCACTAGAATTTTTTATAAAGTATCAAATTTTCATCTCAAATTTTTTAATTTTTCACCAAATTATTAATTTTTGACATATATACTAGTGTTTTTTAAAAGTTCTAAAATATCTAAAATTTTTAAAAATGATAACTTTATGGGTGATTATATTTTGGACGAGCAGGACTAAGTCAATGAATTAAATAAATTCTTACTGGGGACGTAAAGTTAAACTGTCACTTCTCTCTTTCAGACTGGCTATCTCAAGTTATTATTGATGGTTTTAGGTTCTTCTATCCACCACTTTTTGTTTAGAACAGTAGTTTTTATCATTTATAAGCTTTCCTGGAAAGCAAGTTCTTGAATGTCTTTCTATATTACCAGAAATATCCTAAAAACAAAAGGGGATGATCAAATGATAATTGTGTTCATGTTGTTGAACTGAATCATGCTTATATTCTATCTTTAGTACTAGTTAGATAGAACATAGATACAATAAAATTTTATCTAGTAGATTCGATGACAAGAAGTCTGTAGGATCTATTTAATACCAAAACTTTTATATCGCTTTCACCCATGTTTGATTGCATGCGTAATTTTTTAACTGCCCAAATCTGGTCTAGTTTTTTTCTGATACTCGAAAGTACAATATCGTGAATCGTGTAAACATAGGCATTTCAGGAATACGATTTGCTTTTTTTTTATATTCCACGTTTTTGTTTTTTTTTTATATTCCACGTTCGCATTGCTATGCATGACGCAATGAATAATCAATTGATTATTACCTCATTTTGCGACAACATTTTGTACTCATTCAATTCCTTTTTATCTCGTAAAGTGTAAACATTACGAAAAATTTCTGGCGTTTTTTGATCTGGAGAGCTCGCGGAAGACGAATGCTTCTCCAATAGCTTGTCAAATGAAGTTAATTTGAATACCATTTTTCTGAAAAAGAACAATAATATAATAATAATATAACAATAATATAAACAATAATATTTCATTACCTAACATATGAAGTCGACGTACTATTTTCTGCTACAGATTGGGCTAAAATTGAACAAATGAGCTGAAATATTTTGATGTAAATAGTTTAATTTTCAGTGGAACTACATATTTAATGTTCAGCCATCATTCACATGCAAGACATCACATAAGATGTACATCTAGAGAGTATTTTTAAACATTGTCAATGCCCACCGTTTAAGCCTGAACGCCGTTCGAACAACCGCGGTCTCAGGCTGGCAGACAACTTGTTCTGTTTTTGACATAGCATGTAAACATGTATGTATAGTCACATTTTAGCATATTTTGTTGGCGAAGAAAATTGTTGCATTTGCCGGCAATTGTATAGTAGTCAAAAGCAGGGTTCCCATGCAGACTAATTATAAGGCCAAAATCAGTGTCGTTTTTGGTTTTAGTTACTCGATCACGATAAATAAATAAAATAGATAAATAAACTCTTACTTTGAAAAAGAGAAAAATTTCTTTAGTATCAAAGCACAAAGACTAATCACAAGTTCAGCAACAAGAACACGATTCAGAGTGAATCTCATGTAGTATAAAAGAAAGAAAAAAGAAGGACCACTAAACCAAACCTGAAAATCAGATAAAATCAATAAGGACATGGAAGATATTATATCTTGATCAGCGAGGGCGTTGGAAGATATCTACGTTAACTTGTTTTCTACTATCTGCATGCATGGGAACATGGCCCTGCATGGTAAAATGCCAACCTACTTCTACATCACTAGAGGCGATAAGGTAAGGGCATGTCTCATGCAAGATGACAGAATCAACCATTAAATGGGGGGGGGGTTAAAGGTTAGAGACCGAGCAGGCAAACAGTTTAAAGAACTATATAAAAACTCGTTAAGAAAAATTTATTATGTATATTTATTATATACGTACCAGCCATTCGGTGTAACTGTAAAAGACGTCCGCGAAAAAGAAATAATTGTCCCTCTGCAATCTTAGCATGATGATAGTCACGATGAATGAAACAAAAATAAAACCATACACCCCAACCATAAAATTGTCTGCTAATGTTAACTCCTAAACAAAAATATTAGACTAGAATTATTCGGCGAACTCACGTCCAGCCTATAGACTGCTAGACATTCGCTACGACGTTGGACCATCAATGCGTTGGACGCTACGCGAATAGACGCACACGAAGACAGTGTTTTTGGGCCCTTGCAATGATGACGTTGACCTGTGCGTTGACACAACAGAAATAATCCGTTATCTTGGGTAGCATGAGAAACATGTCTATTCTTCAGATGATTGCTAGAAATTCTTGGGGCTTTTTAAGTGTACGAAATCACCGGCGAAAATTGTGGGTCGCAATACTATGATCTCATATGCATTCTATATGTTTAATTGCTTTTAACATACATTGTTTTACAGTGTTTTTATTTGCAATTCAAAATGGCGAAAGGCTAGAAGTACGAAATATGACGTCACTCACAAGAGCTCAATATAAAAAGTAGACCGTGATATATTTACCTGTGAATCTGGTGTTTGTTCCCCAGTTGTGGCATGGAACATAACAGCTGAAATCAGAAGCGAGCTAAAGAGAAACATACTTCTTTTACAATCAAAATGACTGTATGAAATGATATATATGCACGAGGTTAATCCCGCATGGCCATTCTGTGAAGTCCATTGAACCGTCAATGATATTGCTGTAACAAGCTTACTGTGTAAAGAAGACAAGATTCATGTTATTCCATGATATGGTAATAGAGCCCAAAAACGTACCCATCAATCCACAGTCTCATGGACGAATCCTTCGGAGGAATAGAAAATGAAAAACAGACCTAGAATAGATTTTGATTTGAAATTGGTAATAAATCGACAAAAAGAAAAATTGGTGAAAGAGTGAAAGATAAGATTAAGGTTGATTAGGTCCTCCAGGGCAGAAGATATCAAGCATAGTCTCAGTGTATCCTAGAGTAGAAGTGATTCTTACGGTCCCCATGCATTCATCTGTTTTTGCTCAAATTTTAAAGTTCTTCGGACATTTTAGCTAGGGTATTTGGAAAGAAATTTTAAAGTTCTTCAAGACATAATCGCTAATTTTGAAATTCTCAAATTTTAAAGTTCTTCAAAGCATGATTTTATCTCTTTCCTCATTAAACTTGGACGTCGTTGATTGCAAAAGATCGTAAGCGGAAAATCACGTTGAGGTGATGTTGGAACGTTGTTATTTAGACAAAAACTTATACCATACAGGAACAATTTTTCCGTTCAAGAAACGCATACTTATAGCCTTATTCGACGCGTCATACATGCATTGAAAAAATAATCAATTCAAATATTAGCCAATTTAAAGAGAAATCCCTTTTTTTCAAAATAACCAACATGTGAATGAGAAACAACAAAAGTACACAAAAAAGCTTACCACTAAAACTATAAAAAGTGGAGGAAGAAATATTTTAAAAAACGCTGCTCGTTTATGTCTTCTCATATGAAAAAAGAATTCGTATCTCGAAACTCCTTGATCAAGAAAAGGATTGTATCTATGAAATAAATAAATCTCCTTGTGAAAATGAAGACCTAGCTAAAGAAGTGACAACAACAATATGGCAATTGAGCAGACAAGTTAAAACGAGTGCACAGAACAATAACAAACGTTTGTCAACCATATAACATTTCTGTAGGAGCTTTCTATAGGAGGTCACCTCCTGAAGGTGAATTCTTAATTGCAGGAATTTTTCCTTCAGGAAAAACCCAGATATTTAACCGCTTCCGGGATTCAACTGAAAAATATGTCGAAACATTACCTTTCGTAAACCATCTGAGACCAAGAATTCGTATCAAATAACCAGCCTGTGTAATTCAACATTGGAGACACACCACTACGAAACTTAAAATCCTGAGCATCTGGTTTTCCCTAGAAGAAAGATGTTCTTCTCAAGCTAGGAAATAAGTCCTCCGTGTCCATTCAGGCCTGAAACGTAACACTATAGTAACTGCGAACTCATCGCGAAATTCTACCTCAGTTCCTGTACCTGTATATGTTTCCATCGCAATTCTTTAGCAGCCATTTCCATATCTTGAATCACAATACGCAATGTTTGGTTATCATATCTTCAAAAGCAAAGAAAATATTAACTTATCACCTTACTTTTTCCATTTCACGTAAAGCGCCATGCATGTACTCATGACAATTTCAAATAATAGCTAGAAATGTTCAGCACTTACGGGTAATCTCTTAAATCTGCAGCAAAATTAAATGTTGACTTGACGCGAAAATACTTTCCTTCATGACTGGATACCTATATTAAAGATATAGCGTCACACACAAAGATAACAAAGATATAATGATAACTGGAATTGATACGTGAAAATGATTTTGACCAGTACGTGCATGTGAATGACGTGATCGAATAATGTTCAATTTTAATGCCTAATTGTCTCTTGTAAATAAGCATAAAGGTAAACACAACTAAAAGTGTATTTATATATCTATCATTTCCTTGTTTTCTGTACCTCGGGCTGACCAGCAGCATTGACTAGCTCAAAACAGGCTCCTTTAGGACCATCTTTACATTTCTGTTTGGTGTACTTTGTCTGACCATCAGGAACTATATGTAAGATAAATGGTTCAGTATAGTAAATAGATATCAGTCAGAAACCTACATATTGTGGTACTTTATTTTTAGATATCAATCGTCTGATTAATTTTCCAACTTAAAAACTCTGCTGTACAATCCATGCTGTACAATCCATGCATGATCACAATAGTGTTTGCAACCACATTATAGCGTATCATATATAAGTTCAATCGTTCACAAATTCTATGACGGACTTTACCTTTAAAATACAGGTAAAAATCTGCATGAAATGTTCCAGCTTTAAGGTCAACCGAGTGAATATTAATTAGATAGAGAGCAATTTCAACATAAACTGTCTTTTGCTCATTTACTACTTCTGGGCATTTCTCGTAGTAAAACCTGAAATTAAAATAATTGTATCCAATATGATGTTCTACATAGCACTAAAGTCTTGCATTTAAATAACTAAAGTCTTGCATTTAAATATTCTTTATCTAGTATAAGACGCCCATATATCTCAGGCTGAAGAGTGAAGACACTTACCATTCTACCCTGCATTCGTGCCCTTTCTTTGGTCCATCAAGTGCACCTGGTATACATCGGGCACAGTTTGAACAATTAGGACTACCAGCGGCCTCCGGTCGATGACATATGTCCTTACATGTATCACAGAATCCACAGTTTCCATCACTAAGACAGAACGAGCAATTATTACCTCGAGAAAGACAAGATGAATCCATCACTGTTGGACCTATTTTAGTAACAGATGCATTGTGCTTGGCGATGTGATGATCAGCCAATGTTCTTTCACAATAATAATTCTTGAAAGTTGTCAATAAGATGATACACAACCATAGATAATTCATGGAGGAATGACGCACTGCCATTATATAGAATTTTAATCTGAAGAAACAGCTCTAGTTAACAAGTCAAAGTATGAAAATCTGCTAAACAGATCATTCGATTTTAACTGTCCTTGTAGTACGAGTCCGTCGATAAGTGGAAAGAAGACTTTTGTTGAATGCATTTGAAAAGACCATGATTATATGCATATCAAGTCGTCATTATTGTTGCCACCTTTATTAACTCAAAGCATATATATTTTCAACAATAACAGAGTCGTATTTACAATGATATCAAGCAAGCAGTCTGCAGGTGGCCGAAGTGGATGTGAATGTAATGAGATAAAATAACAGAATACGTTTCCAGCTTGACAGGTGGTAAGAGAACTGCACTGAGGACGGCAATTCTAAGGGCGAGGGAAGTCAGTTTAATTTATATTAAGCAAATCTATATAGACTATATTCTTGTACGTTTTCCGTCGCAAGTAACTTTATGCTTTCTTATTCTCAACAAGAAGCAATAGTAATTTTCTGTCGATATTAATTTTCGTTCGTCGAAACCGACCATGACCTTTCGTGAATACCAAGAACTGTTTACACGAATGGTCGGCCAGGAAGAAACTGTTGGACGCGCACACATTCAAAAATTTCCAACGACGAGAAACCGGCATCAAGGAATTATCGTATCGGTCGAAACTATTTCTAAGCCTGAGGCTGGTAGCCTGGTATAGCTTATGTAATGTTTCCCGGGAACGTTGTAATTGGTTCTTGCAAATACCCTTCTTTATATATACTTGTTATTTTTATGTATTGTGTTGTTTGCAGTTTGCAGTTTTGCGAAAGGTTTACGAATTAGGAAGGCAACATTCATGTGATATTGGATGTAAATTGGCGGTTTATCCCATAAATAAATTTTCTAGCCATCAATGATCACAAGAGAAACATCAATGATAACAAGAGAAACACTTCCTGGAGGGATATCTCAAATAACATCCCTTCCGAATTGTGACAGATATAAAATTTGCAATCAGGATTAGGGTTATTTTCAACAATCTATTTTACCGCAATTTTTTAAATTTTTCTTACAAAGACTCCACCACCCTCGCTGTCTTACATAAGAGGGCGCCAGAACATATTAGCAACTTTTTGAATAACGTTTATAGAGCTGTCAGCAACGCTAAAGGTCTAATTTACATTATCTGAAGCATACACCAGGTATATTACTGATATAATACATTATATAATACAGGTTACTATTAATTATTACAGTGTAATTCTTCAATTAATTCTTTCACAGCCGTGTTTCAAGAATTAAAGTCATAACAACAAAACATTTTGCCCACACTACACTGCGTAAAAAATCACATAATTAACAGCATGCACGCGCAACGAACTATGTCATTGATCCGCATGCGTCACGAAGAGAATTTAACCTCATCCACCACCTGGAAGAACAAGATATATATGTGTTAGGGAAATTCGGTTTTGAAGCAATACCAAAATGGCTATCCAAGATTTTTATACTTTTATTAAACTATATATATATATAGATCAAGGTAAATAATTTGGTGGCATCCTATGGTGAGGATGGTGGTGAAATGCATAATACTACCAATAATAATATAATATTAATATATCAATAATATAATATAATAATATAATATTAATATAATAATAATAATTCTGGAATGCACAATTTGGGTTCACTGAAGTTGATCTTTTCTTAAAATCAGTGTTCAATGTTCATACCAGTATTTCCACGGCCTGATGGTCTATATGATGGTCCAGAACTGCTGCCAGTGAGGGGATTATAGTCTGCATTACGCCTTGTTCGACTTCGACCTTTTTTCTCATTTTCATAATTTTCAATTTTTTCTTTCCGTTTTTGGGCCTCAACCTACAAATTACACAAAGAAAAATGATAAGATGGTAGCTGAGCAGGTATATAGTCTCATCAGGTAGTCTCACTGGTTGGATTAAATTTGGTCAACAAAGAAATATCATTTTAACAATAATTAAATGTCTAGATGGTTTCTGAAATGGTTTCAATGAATATTTATGTTTGTATACAAGATGACAAGGCAATGAATACCAAAACTTTTCTAAAAATAATTAGAAAGAACTGTTTTAGTTTTCCAACAACAGCCTGGTTGTTCAGGTCAAAGGACAGAGTAAAATTGATATTTATGTGAGAGATACAAAGGAAGCTTACCTTTTTCATTTTCTCAGCTTGTTCAACTGCGCTTGCATCTACTTTCTCTTGCATTTGTTTTCTTGCATGTTCCATTTTCTCCAAAGATCGAGCTAATCGTGCAGGATCTATGAACAGTTTTATCAAAGTGGAAGTCATTTCTGTATATTCTGATTATGCATAAGATCTGCTTATAACAAAATGAGGGCCATCTGAATAAAAATTGCTAAATTTACAGCAGCTGTTTATACATATGGACTTTACTTCCACTTTAACATAGGTATTATGACAATTAGCAACATTTTTACCATTGTGTAACATGGTGATGCAAATTGAATAAGCTTTACCACTTCAATGTAATTATGTACAATACTAATTAGAATATGAACATTATTTTATACATTTTTGATACAGCAGAGAAAATAAAGTTATTATTTTATATTATAAATTAAAGTTATTAATAGTTCAAGATAACAATGGTTATACCTAAATTTGCTTCCTCAATTTTCTTATTCCATTCATCTCTCCATTTCCTCCAGTAGGGCTCCAATAAACTCCAAATAAAAACAGCAGCTAAAATGCCAAACACCACGAACCAACCATATTTCTCCAGGAACAACAAAACTGTAAAATTAATCCTACTTTAAAATATCATGATAATAAATTCAAGTATCACATCTTGTAACAAGTCTGCAAACAAGTAAGCTATCAAGCCGTGTTCCCACCCCTTGCCCCAAACAAATGTGTTGAATCATCAGGCTTGTTGCAAGGTCACTCATGTCTGGTACAAAAATGATCAAACACAATATTGCTACAATCTTATGTAATCTTAGCAACATTGTTGTCAGTATTGTCAGAACAATCTGACGCTTGTAAGAAGAATCTTGTTAAAAATGTCATTGGACCTGCTACATGTTGCCAATATGTTACAACAACTTGAAGCAAGCAGTGCAACCGCATCTTGTTGACTGCAGCTTGTGAACAAACTTGTGACATCTTGTTGCAGACTTGTTACAACTAGTGTGTTTTTGCATGTGTATCTGTAAAAGTGAATAGTATGGAAGTTCATGAAAGTTGATGGCAGTTGCAAGTCGAGCATAGCAGTAATAGAAATAATGTCTATTATTACTATGAAGTCGAGCTAATAACAGTTAAATCTTGATGACGCAAGTTAAAACGAACAATCATATTCTGTGTCATACGCAAGGGCGACTTTCACAACTTGCATGAAGTCATATCTCAGTTCACCTTGGCTTTACTACCTCTTAATACAAATCAAATTTAACTGAGCACAAAACAATAGATAGGCGTAAATGTCTATAAACGAAAACAAAACGAATAATGCAGTGTGTTTTTAATATTTGATTGAATTCCCTTACCACTATTGATCGCTGTCGATACAAATTCAGGAGTTTCATTCTTTAAGGTTGCTTTTTTATGTATTGGTTCTGGATGCTGGTCGTTATTATTAGCTTCGGCCATAAATTAGTTTACAATTGGTAGATTAAATACTGAAGAAGAAACCAAACGGGAAATGGTGGTGGTCTTACCCTCGATGAAGCAGTATGTAATATACATTCGATGACCGTCACTCAGATGACGTGTATTTAAAAAGAAGGCTTGGCAACCACCCCGCTTTTGGCCCATCGCGCCAGGGGAATTCCCCAGGAGCAAGACGAAGCAAATCAAGCAATACTAACAAAATACGAAGACTACGATAAAGAAACTCTACATTTTTAAGACGACTATCATTATTTATTGCACTAGTAATGGCAATGCTTAGTCAGAGTTAAATCGATTTCATAACACAGAAGAAGACATGGACAGACAATGTCAGGTATAAAACATGACTCGACAGTTTTGGGCATTAATTATTATCGATAAACAAGACAGTTCAAAAACCCAGCTGTACTGCTGTACGTTAGCAGAAAAATTGTAGGTTCTAGCATCGTTACCCAGACAATTGTAAATAGCAACGGACATAAAAAAGAAGTGATAAACCAGAAGTGATGTCTAACTCCTATTCGCCTTTAGTAGAATCGTACTTGTAGAAGCATCCAAGCACTATATCCGACATCTTTACAATATTGAGGGCTACTGACTAGCGAAGACATCTGCTACAATACATTGTCTTTGGCAAATGTTCTCGCTTATAAGATTGTCTTAATATTCAGTCAGTCCTTTGACGAACATCACGTAAGTCAGTGTGGCTGAAGTGCGTATTAAAGTAGGCATCAGAAATTTATATTTGTCAGTACCTGCGATATCACTATTTCCGGACTCATACGTAATGAAGCTTCAATGATTCAATCCCCCAAATCTGCTATTGTATTGATGTATAAACCAGTTGATTTATATGGTAAAATAATGTTTTCACTAATAGTAAAAATAATAATTTTGTTGCCATTTAACATGTCTAAAGTGATATTGATATACTGGCCCTACTGGTGGCAGAGTATGTGCGAGAAGAATGTGTTTTCCAAAATATACTGGATTAGTTAAAAAACCCTGACGTCTTAAAATTGCCACATAAGGTCAATGATTTAACAGAAATTGCTTAAAGTTAACCATTAAAATAAAACATAAATCCATTTGCTATTGGAAGTAGAAATGCATTCTAATCATGCGAGAGATGATTAGCATCTGTTGTGAGTATCGTTGTCTTTACATGCCAGTGTGAGTGGTTAGGTGCTGACGCCAACAAATACGGTATTCTATAATTTGGTTGGCCAGGTATTCTATAATTGTTCCGATCCCCGCTTGGATCCAGGCTAGGTCTGTTTAACATACGTATACGAGCCAAAGATCTGACCAACCAGGACGTCTGCACCATATCAGTTACCACACCAAACCAAGTTCGATGGAAGATATGGTAGACAGAATTAACAAAATATTTTTAACACACACACTTACTCCGATACTTGCTTACTTGGCAATATTGCCAATAGCTAAAAGCCAGTATTCATGCTCAGTATCATGCGTCTCAATGTACAATTTTCGTCCACCTTGTTGTAGCCGCACGGCCCTTAAATATGTTACCCTGAGTTAAATTTAACCTCATGCAATAAAACTGTGGTTAACTGTATTATAACTTAAAAATTTGCAGACAATTTGAATATGAAAGGTATCAGTACTTATCGCAACATTAGCTATACAAGTATTTACATTTTAATTGCCAGAATAAGTGAATAGAATAATAAGAATTTGCTTGAATGTTTAATTGACAGCTAAATGGAGGAGGACCGATGCTGCAAGCTCAAACAATCAAACAAACTCAGAAAAAGGAGAATGTAGCGGCATAGCTTTTAAGACTGATACAGATTCTAGCCATTCTCCACGAAAACGACGACTAGCTTGTCAGCCTGGTGATGTAGATAAACATAGCCAGGATAAAAAGAGAAACGCGGACCTTGTCCTTGATTTGCAATCTACAAAACCAATTTTTGATGAGCGGGAAGTAAATTTAATGCAAACGCAAGCTTCTACTAGCAACCCAGAGAAAACAAGTTTAGAATTAGTTCAACCTCAGCAAAAATCGGACGAAAAGGAAGGCGCAGGGAAAACTACGTTTCATAAAAAGAAAAAAACAGAAGTTAAAAGCAATTATAACATTGAGAATTTAACCACAACTGAGCTACCGATTGAAGTAGAACGTCTTTTCAAATACTTATTAAAATATCCCGATCTATACGCCCAGGATACTGATGGCGATACGTAAGTAAACTTACTATATTAGTAATAAAACTAACATCTTCAATTATTAGAGACCTATACCATTCAACAGTCAGAAGCTCCGGGTTACAAAGTGAAAGTTTTCTTCATTCAAAGTGTCAGCCGGATTTACTAGTATAGTTTAATTATTGCATGAATTATCTTCAGCTGACTGATAATCACATGGCAGAAACTCGGAACTTTCTAATGTTTCATAAATGTGGTTTATAAACTTTGTAAACTGCATATTTTGTTTTTTCATTTTGTGAGAATGGCAGGTACGTTTCTGAACTCTTCTTTCTAAAAATACTCCCCTCCCCCTGGATAATTTAGAGCAAGTTATGCTGCCCATCGTTTCAGCACACGGTCAGAATACTATATGCTTATACTTACATGTATATTGCAATCAACATTCGTTCAGGTTACTTCACTTGGCTATAGTTCATAAAAAAGTAAATTTAATACTTGCAACAATATTGGCTATGGAAAAAAGAAAACAAGAAGACACGAGGGGAGTCAATGTTCAAAACAAATTACGCCAGGTAAGCGGCTTGGGTTGCGACTTGAAAAATCTCTATGAGTATTGCTCTAAATTTATCTTATAAGTTAAAATTTGGATTTGTTCAGGCAGTTCTTTACATGCAGTTTCAAATAAGAACAACGATTATGCGTATAAATTATTAGTGGTATTATGGGGCTCTTGGGATGAATATAGGAGCCTGGTTATCACTTGTTATTAATCATGCTCTGCTCATACCAGTATATGAGTAGAGTACACGTAGAATACATGCCGATGAGGACTATATATGAATTAAGGGTACTGATTTTTCTTTCAGACTGGACTACACTTGGCTGTTCTGACATGTCAACCTAGTATTGTCAAATTCTTATTAGAACATGGAGCAGACGTAAATGCCGCCGATCACAATGGTCATACTGGACTACATTTAGCATGTAAGAACGCAGACGTTGAAGATATACGAGCAATGAGAATTAGAAAAACCACAGCTGATGAAAACAATGAAAGTTCAATTGATATTAATATGAAAAATTTTGAAGGTAATCCTGAAATAAAGAACTACATCGGATAGCTTGTTTTTATTTATCTCATATATAATATTATTCGCATCCGAATTAGTGGTAACTGAGTTTTCTATAATAATTGCAAACTTTAATAGTTTTAGAAATCACGAGAAAGCGTATTTTTTGAAAACACATGCGTGCCAAACATTCAATATATATTTAAAACTTAAGAAATTCTCAGGTTTAGCGCCAATTCATCTTGCAACTTTAACTGGAAGCTGTGAAGTCATTGATGAGTTATTGGATATGGGCGCGGATATCGATGCAAAGGTAAGAGAAACCTTAACAGAAAAGTTTATTCATATAACATCCATAGGTTAATACACGGGTGGATCCAGCACTAGTGAACTAATTTGTATCACAAAACAAAGTGGTTATTTTTAGCAGTTTTCTTGTGTCATGCAAATTATTGCACTAGGGCTGGATCCACCCATGGGTTAATGATCAAAAGTGATGTTAACCTCACACCCATGCTGGGTATTTCTTTGGATTTTACTTTGTCCAAAAGTAGGCTACTGCATGCATCTCAATGTAAATAGCGTTTAAGGAGGTACGTTTATAGGCCTCGGTGCTTCCTTGAATTTCAAAGACAGCTGCCATTTTTTACTGTGTTCATTATCTTCAAGTTGAATGCCCTATTGAGTTTGATATTCACGTTGTTAATTCTTCTTCTTTCGTCTCATTCGCAGGATTGTAAAAGTGGACGAACAGCTTTACATCATGCAGTTGAAGCTCAAAATCCTATTGTAACAAGGATGCTGCTCTCGAGAAACGCTGATGTGAATGCACAAACATTTGCCGGTAATACGCCGTTACATGCTGCCAGCGGTCACCGTATGGAGAATATTATATATATCTTGCTAGAGTTTGAAGCTGATCGAAAACTAACAAACTTTGAGGGTGATCTTCCTCTTCCAGAGACCTATATGGTATGGCCGTTCGTTGTTGGTTGTGATTACATTTGAATTTGTTTAAGAAAAAATGAATTATAGTGATACAGAGTTTGCCAAAATACGACCTTTTCTTTTTTTAGCCTTATGCCGTGATAAGAAAACTGGCACAAAAATCAAAAGAAAAGAAACAAAACAAATAACTTAAATATATGGTGGAGTTTATATTATGATCGCACACGACGCCTTAAGAGCGGAGTATTACTAGCTACATGTATTACTATACAACCGTGCAATATACAGGGTAATTCAAATACTAAATTTCAAATATTTTATAGTACAGTTTTATTGGGGGGGGGGTTAAAGATATTTCGCTCCCTAGATATATAATTGGGGAGGGGGGTCGCACCTCTTCCATTTTTACGTCTCTGATACTTGTTATATCTTTGAACTTTTGGGACCGACTAAAACGCGCATATCCGCTGGGGGTATCATTGTGCATCGCCCAGACCACCGCTAAGGCTCGTTTTGATAGATGTGAACGAGAGAATAAAAGCTCTTATACAAGTGTAAACGGGCCTAAAAATATACCAAATAATTGCATGTTATATATATATATATATCTGTATATATGATGATCATATAAAAAATATTGTATATAAATATATACTGCTATATAATTATGTAAAATAATAAAATACTAAATGTCTAATATAATAACATGTGGTGATCAACGACTAGACTAATCTTCATTTTATTAGTATAACGCAAAAACTAATGGAAATTTCAGAACAAACCAACAGGGGTGCATTACAAAACAAAATGGTTATTTTTAGCAGTTTTCTTGTGTCATGCAAATTAGTGCACTAGTGCTGGATCCACCCATGCAAACCAACAATGTTAACTCTATATAAGGACGGCGAAAACTTAGGAAGAAAGTTGAGACGCCTTACATTTTTAAAAAGAGCCTGCATGAGACCGGCGAAACACGTAATATGCACTTATACCACTTATTCTGGCTGTATAAAAAACTAAAGAAATTTGAAATATTTCTATAAACCTTTGCCTCTCAAAAGCAGCTCCAAGCATGCATGGAAAATATATTGTTTAGGTTCATATTGTTGTAAGGAGAAAAAATTGAAAGTAATAATTTCGCAACACACGACCACAGGGGTGCGTCTTTTCCAAGAGAGTTTAAAAATGGCTTCACAGCACATTTATTTTAAGTTTTATAGTAAGATTTAGTTCAAACAGAAAATAGAGGATAACGTGCAGAGAAAACAAGTAACTCGAAAAGCAACTCCCGCTATAGTGAATTTGTTTTTGGTATTACGTGGATTTTCGTATTCCATGCAGGAATGTTCATGGAGTGCACAAAAATGGGCTGCCACTCAAGAAATACTAAACTGAGTTATGCGAAAGTTCCTTCTAGAATCATGACATGCAACCTTGAAAATCACTTGTATGTATTATAATAAACTAGGGTTTCATCTTGATACGTTTAATTGTGTATCCAAATCCAACTGAGTTTTCCACATTGTTCTACAAAGTTGAAATATATAATGCGAATGCGAGAATATATGAATGATAGAGATGCACAATTATAATGCAAACTAAAAATGAAAGTAAAATCATGCAGGCGTATTTGACTTTAGTATAATCATGCAACACAATGTCACATCAAATATGTATAAATATATATAACGTCTTTTTTGCAAACTTTACAACCTCAACTCGCCAAGGATTTATGCAACCCATAGGGATTTTACAGCTCGTCTTAACTACTTGGATAGTAAAGGGTACATGGGTAAAACGACATGCGAGCGATCAAGAGAAAACGGTAAAGTGTACTGCTATATCTAGACGTCATGCGGTCCCGGTAATTCCCCAGTGCGTGTTACCAAGTAGTGAATTTAATGAAATGCTAGAAATGTTTCCCGGAAGTAGGCCGGGAGAAAAGAAAGTAAAAGACTATGAATATTGTGGTGCAAATGGACTCTAAGTTACTACAGTTGTCAAGTTCTACAAATCACTGAAGGTCCATATATAGTATTATATACCTCTAAAGGTAAGTGTATTCTTGTACGCTATATTACATGCATGCAATCAACCGGAAGTTAGCTTGAATCGAATGTAGGGTGTGCAAAGCTAAACAGCAAGAATATATTAGCTAGCCAAGAGTCTGTTTATATTTTATATCCACGATCAGGCTATTTTCAGAGGCTATTTTACACCAAAGTGAAATTTCTTTCTCTTGATGTGTATTTTCTCTGTATTATCATAATCTTTTTTTGTTGACTGTACCGTCGACATGCTTTCGTATACTGACGATAATTGTCATCCAAATGAATACTAGGTCAAACCAAACTAATCAAATTGTTGTCGATTGAGAGCTTCGTACTTTGTAGCAATTGTATCTAACTATCAAAAATAAGGGTGCGATGGAGAAAGCTATTTGACTGAAAATTCAGTAGGAGATTGGAGGAAATGCTCTCAATTGCATCCATATGCAATATTTGGGTTTTGGTTTCTCTGCTGCAAAGCATTCCACTCACTGAGCTATATAATAATTCTTATATAGCTCAGTGATTATTATATAGCTCAGGAATTATTATATAGCTCAGTGATTCCACTCAGAACGGGAATAAGCATTTACGCATGCGCACTTTCCAGCAAAAGGATTGCTGTTAAAATTGGCGAAATTCAAGCACTCTCACAGGACCGTCAGCCTCTGCACAAAAAAACTCACAATGCAATGTATTTTCATTGCTGCCCGACGACATCATCAGCAACGTATGTCTGCACTCGTGTCAAAACGTTGCGGCAGGCTAGGAAAAGCTCAAAATTACGTGATAATTACGCTAAATGTATGCACTAATTTCTATTGTGGACATCTCGTGATCGGAAAAACATTAAAAAATCAGGAAATTATTATTTTGATACTGAAAGCAGAAACTTTGTAAAGGTCAATTTACAGCAATTTTGTCTTAATTTAAGACAGTTTTACATCGCATCAAAGAGAATAAAGAAAATATCATTCTCCGGTAACTTAGACTTGGCACTTCAGCTTTGTAACAATTCTGCATGTTATTTTGTCATGTCGCTACAAGTTTGTCACTGACGTCTGACAACTTATTAACAAGTTGTGGAATTGCATAACAATAGGAAGTTGATAGAGCAAACTTGTAGCAAGTTTGCTGCGGGTATGTAGCACCTTGTCAACAAGCCTGGAACAAGAAGTGCAAGCGCAACTTGATATCGGCTTGTTGGAACAATCTTGTAGCAATCTTGTATGACGCAGGTTTGTATGAAAGGATATTCACCTCCGGGCTCGTGGCTCCGGATTCGAGCGAACCCGGAGCTGGAGTGGCTAGTTTTCATACAAACCAGTGTGGCCGCTTCGCTTTTAATGGAATGAAAGGCCATTTTTCTTTGTTATATTGTTAAGAACAGGGCCGAAAATGAGATGAGAGTTTTATCTCATTTAGTTTGCTCGCAATCTAAATCGGTTTGTATGAAAACTAGCGAACCCGGAGCTACGAACCCGGAGCTGAATATCCTGTCATTTGTCAGAACTTGTGCGCCAAGGACCGCCTGCGCAGTTATGTACCTTTCCACGCATGCCGTGGAATAACGCACGAACACGTATGGATTGAGTGACGGGAAGTACGAGAACAGCCGTTAAAGACTAAATACTTCCTTTGTAAATACAGTTGTGGGAGTTTAAAAACATCCTCATATGAAATTAGTGAAAAAGGTAACAAAAATCTTTGGCATCTGGTAATTTTTCCTTTAAAAGTGCGCTTCAAGTATAACTTTATAGTTAGATGAATGACGTAACGATAGAAAGCAGTTCATCAGGTTTCAAATATGGATGAAAGAGTAAAAGGAAGTAGGTTTACATCCCAGTTCAATCTGTTGAAATTCCATCGTTATAGCAGCCAGCGAGAAATATCTTGGCTGTATGATGTATCGTGTCATATCGTGTCTGTATAGTTGTACGTTAATCACTATGTCTAAAATGCTTTCGCAGCTTCTAGAATATTGACAAGTGCGCTCGTAGCAATCAGATAGTTTAATCCATATATCCATATATAATACAGACAATATCGGTAAAACAGTGACGTTTTAAACAGAGCAGAACTCGACTTTTTTACATGTTCATTATGCTCTATAAGACTTCAAATTCATCTATTCTCTCGAAGTAGTAGTTACCCATGAAATACTCCGCTTTTTTACCTTTTTATAGACTTTCTAATACACTCCTAGCAGACTAGTTTATCATCTAGCTACAGGAAGGATTACGGATGAATTTTGCTATGCATGCGCGTCAGAATAAATTAGTAATATATTTGTTAAACGTGGCCGTAGGAACTTTTTATATTAGTATTTATTGTGAAAGTGATAATCGGCATGCTTTGAATATTTTCACTTTTGTTAATATAATTTATAGATTCTGCAAAAAATACAGCGAATGTGTCCCCAAATCACCAGGCTTTTTAAATTCATTTTGACATTTGGGACAATGTCGACGAGTAGCAACGGTACTAAAGATAAAACAACACAGAATATTCTGAATGAAGACGATGTTGAAGGGAAGATGATGGCTCATGAAAAAGAATTAAGAGACACGTTCGAAAATACTGGTGTCTATTGTAAAAGAAGTAATACGGAATGTCCTCGAAAATGCGGCATCGACTGTCAATTTAAAACTGTTACTATACAAAATAAACGTAAACAAAATTTACCAGAAGGAAATTACAATTTCTCGTCAAAGGCTAAAATTGGAAGAAGCGAGAATAAAAAGAGTAACTTTGATAGGAAGGAAGAGAACAGCAGCACTGTGCAAACAGATTTCCAACATTTTGAATTTGAGGAAAGACAGAATTTAGTCACACGATTACTGACAAAGGATAAAGATGGTGATACGTATGTGGATTAATAACCCAGATATCCCTCATGTCTGTATTCTGTAAATTTAGGGGAACGAAGTCTTTTAGCTGACAGGAATTTAGTCAACTATTCGCGTCCAACATTCCCAATCTCGAACATTATAGCGCAATACAAAAGAAAATAATAGAATACAACATTTTTTAAAATTTTCATTTAAAAATGCTTATGCGATGAATTTTTTAAGTTGCACTAAATAGTTTGTTTAGAATATTTATATACGATAATTATAGGATGGACTTTACAATTTAAATACTCCCACGACATTAATAGTTATTATCAGGGTTGAATATGCATTTTCGTTTAATAGAATTCTGCATCTTTCAATTGTCCACAATGACGTAAGAAAAAGCAAATCTCTCATAGAAATATTGAGCGGGAAATTGGATGTTGTTAATAAATTACAACAGGTTTGTCACAGATTCATATCTGATATATTATGTAGTATGTACCGCAGAAAAGAGTGGCTTAACGGACGTAAGGTAAGGTTAGGACAAGAACTAAGGGTCCCCGACCGTTGGGCCCCCGAGCCATCATTGATTGCCGTCTATCGCCACGATTCTTAAAGAAAAACGGCGTGTCAGTGTATCACATAAAAAAGTCAGGTTAAAAACTAATTGTTATGCCAAAGATAGGCCTAGGGTATGAGGTTGATTGCAAAGGAAAATGCAGCATTAATGATGGTAGATTAAATAATAAAGTGTCCATCGACCATGGCTGAATTTTCTATTCTATTATCCATGTTTTATTACTTCTATAACTAATAAAGTATTACACTAAAGTAAATTTACAAGCTTCAGCTCTCAAATTATTTTTCAAGGGAAAACATAACAAACAGCTAGGGCCCCCACACCAAATATACCTAAGGGCCCCATCTTCGTCCGTTACGCCACTGCCGGGCCCGCCAGAAAATACAAAACACAAAGTCTTTTCTATACATTGTGTTTTATTATTCTATTTTCTTTCACAGACACCTTTACATCTTTCTGTTCTGACTTGTCAACCAGCCATAGTTGAATTTTTAATTTTCCATGGCGCCAGTGTGAATATGATGGACAGAAATGGTCAGACGGCGCTACATCTTGCTTCAAAAAATGCCGATAATGAATGTGTCAAAGCTATAAAAAACGCAACTGAATGTCCAGCACATTCTTCGTATGTTGTACAAAAACCGGACTTCACCTTGAAAAATTTTAAAGGTACAATATCCAGGCTCGCGACTTTATCCAATGGACAACTTGCGCTTTAGACTATTTTTTTATCTAAGTAACTAGAAGAAAATAAATCATCACAGCTAGAAAGATCTTACTTAAATTAGTGCAAATGCAAAGTTTGGCTGCGAAATTTTGTAAAATACGGAAAATATAGCTATGGGAAGTTGCCATATTTTGTATACTTTTGTATTACGTGCGGAAATGTGTAACTAATTTAGTTACATACTTCTGGCCGTAAATCGTAATGCAAAAGTATACAAAATTCGTCAACTTCGCTTGGCTACATTTTCCGTAATTTACAACAATTCGGAGCCACACTTTTCTTTCAAAAAATGTCTTTTTTATCGCCGAGGTAAGAAATTAGTCTAAAGCGCAAGTCGTCCATTCGGGAGTGGTGAAAATGTAACTTTAGGTCCATACCTGTTGAGTATGTTAAATGTGCATTTTTTTGCTTTCGAACATTTAAAAACTTAATAACATCCGTCATCCGTCTATACCTGATGTTCATTCTTTAATGATCGTTACACCGTCAAACTTAATCTACTTCGCAGCTGATTATATTCATTGTAATATATATTATAGGCCAAGCAGCTTTTCATTTGGCAATTTTATCCGGAAGTCGAGAAATTGCCAAGACTTTGTTAGACATGAAAGCAGACATCAACATTCAGGTGAAAAAATAGGGTTTTAGGGCGAGGCCAAATCATCATATTTTCTCACCGACGTACGTAAAGTTTTTCAAATAATTTTTTGAACCTAGGTCTACAATCACTTATATACAAAGGCACATTCATACATTCAGATTTTCAGGCTTATGTACAAAATTCTAATGTATTTCAGTTTCCCTTATGTGTATGTCTGTATCAACTATAGGATGGAACAAGTGGAAGAACAGCGTTACATCTTGCTGTGGAATCACATAATATAAATATGATAACTTTTCTACTGGAAAACAATGTTAATGTGAATGCTACCACATTCTCTGGGAATACTGCACTACATCTAGCCAGCGGGCTAGGAATGGATCAGATTGTTCAGTTGCTCATTCGGAATGGCGCAAATATTAATATCACAAACATTGAAGGTGATGCACCACTGTATACTAAGGTACGTTATATATCAGTCCTTTACTTAATTTTCCATTTATCTCAGAATGGAATAAATAAAAAAATTTAAGTTGAATCCAATCCAGGGGCAGATATTGCCCAGCAGGGCTTTTTGAGAAGGGCTACACAAAAAGGTTTGAATTGCAATCAACCATTTTAAAAGGAAAAGATGCAACCATATTTTGCTACTTTTGCTTTTGTAAAGGTCTTCATGCTTTTTTAAAGGGAGTACTTAATAGAGCACTCAGGCAGCACAGGCTCCTCCTTTATACCTACATACATAACATATATACATGCATACTTATCTCTCTTTCAGATAGTCGAAAGTGTGCAATGGAAGCCACAAAGTAAAATGTGCAAAAAAAGTGATAAAACTCAAGACTTCTTGTGTACAAAAATGTTTCAGTACAGGACTCCAAACTGCATGGCGACCTATCCATGCCGTAAATGACTTAGAAATATATTTACTAGAATATGTTTGTCATGTAAACTGAGAAAAAGAATTGATAAATTTAATTGAGTGTAATTTAGTAATAAAATTGAGCAATTCAAACTAAATTATCACACACCTAGTCACCTATGACCTATATATTACCATGAAGTGATGAAGACATTTTAAAAATACTGACTTTTGCTAGCTTGCAATCACTAATAACATGATTTATGAAAATTAAAATCATAGTATATCATAATATCTACAAGTTATAAGAAACTAGCTCTTAAACTAAAATTTGGGACGAAGAAATATAATTTGAAATTAAATTATAATTTATGATGTAAATCACCAACTAGCAATTTAAACACAATCAAAATATGAAAACATGAGTATAAAACAGTATTATAGCTTAGTTTCCTTATTTTTGTTTCCTTATTTTATCTTTAAATTCAAGAACTTCCGAATTCAGGTTACGCACTAAATGCGAAGTGAGACTTACAGCCAAAACACAGGCAATTAATTAGAAACTAGACAAAAAATAAGCTCACTAACTTTTAAAATCACACTGGAGTTCCTTTCCATGGTATACTTTCCATTTTCCACTTTCTATTATTCTCTGAATGTTCTATTGTTTCCTGAAAACTTTGCTCATTGGATATCAGTTGTGGTAATTTATTTCCTTTAAATTCTACAACACCCATTTCAGCAGAGTCAAATTTTCTTCGTGGAAGTTTATAAACTGTTGTGTAATTATCATCAATATGTTGAAAACGATAAAGCAGGTCATCAAAAACCTTTGGGATTATTTCTTTTCTCTAATTAAAAACACAAAACAAGAAAAAAATTAATACTAATTTGTCAATGTTTTCAAAGATGAGGAGTATATACTCCAACGTTATAAGAATCATGAGGTGTTTATCATTTTTTCACTCAAAAGTAAAGTAACTAAATATAAATCTATAGTGTGATATCATACTAATTGTTAACTTACATTAATCCAAGTATAAATTGTTGCCTCATCTCCTTGTTTCGCCAGATCTATCATCTAAAATTGAAAAATGAATAGAAATTATGGAACCTATATATAGGATTATACATAGGTATGCCATATGAGGCAGTCTTTAAACTGCTTTCAAAGCACTAGTGGTTGCATCTATTCAGTGAGATTAAAAAAATAGGTACATTAAGCGTACATGTATCCGCTTATAGAGCAGATCTCATGGTGATTTCACTGTTCCTGTTCAATATTCATTAGTTCCAAGAGACTGATATTTGAATAAACATCACAAATACATATTTTACACACTTGATTATATCTGTAATAAGATATTATTTTAATTAAACATTAAACAATGTTACAAATAAATATTATTAATACATAATAAAACAAGGCACTATAAAACTGCTAATTAGGTTAGATTAACAGTATGCTAGGCTAGGCAAAATTTCAGCTGTTAAACTTGAGAAACTAATTCTAATACAAGCGCCCTGGTAGAAATTGTTACTGAGCTATTAAATTTTACTGTACAGAATACCGACCCTTTCGGCGACTCTTGAGAGGTCTTTGCACTTTACAAGTGTTGTAACAACTCTTTCATCCTGAACCAACCGAGTTAACAAATTCCTATAAATATTCTGTCTCACTTTAGCATTCTTTATTCGGGATTTTAGCAAACTATCAAAACTCCTAACTTGATAAGCACGCGCCATATTGAATATGATTTTGAGAAATAATTTTTAGACATTTTTAAACAGACGTTTGATTGGTAGAAATGAATAGTTCCAACCAATGACAGTGCTGCTGCGTTAACATGTTTCAAGTTTCCAATATGGCGATATCTGGAGTCGTGTTTTCAACAATTTCCAGTTGTAAACTATTCTCAAGAATTCCTCGACAATCATTTATTCCCACACGAAATGCTGTAAAATCAGCAGCACGACGGAGGCTACCCACGAAGCCTGTCATAAATCCATTTGTCAACAAGCGAACTAATTTTATCAAGGAACTTTGTATTGCTTTAGTGAAATATGATAGAATCCAGACAACATTCCATAAGGCATTGCAACTAAAATCGTACGGTGAATTAGTGAGTGCGATTGCTGTATCATTTATACATACTTCTATCCACCTCTCCCAGTCTTGCAGGTTTTGAAATTTTGACCTGTTTGGCAAGATTTTCAAATCACATTCAAAAAACCTTCTACCTGGTCAGTGGTCCCCAGGAATTTCAGAACATTTCTTCACCCTTTAAAAATGTAACAATTTTCTTTCATCCACCCTCTCAGACAGAATAATTATATGTATATAATTTTTTTACATATTTAGTTAATTATAATGACTCGTCGTAAATGTCCTCCGCCAGACCTGCATTATCTTGAGGATGGTTTCATTTTGACAGATCAAGAAGCCAGAGAAAGATTAACAACAAAATTGGTGGTCAACAGAAGAAACAAAAAGATCATCAGCCAACCTCAGGAATTTAATGAGCAAGAATATGTTGAACAGCTACAGCTGCAGATAAGAAGTATTTTACTAGAGGTTTGTATGAACTGCCATGCTGGTGCTTTTTTATTAGCCACTGAAAGAAAATGGTATCTCATCACTTGAGTAAGTTGTTCATGTGTAAATTGGAGTTCCAACTCTGCAAGGCATGAACTTCTTAATCCTAATTCCCTTTGTTCAAATTTATAGTGATTTTCAATTTTTGTTTTTTTTTAGGATGAAGAAGCTCTACAAAAACTGTATAATAAATTAGTGCCCAGATATGAAGATAGATATGGTGGGTTTGTTAAAGTAACACCAATCCCTTACCCAGTTAAACGTCACTACCCACGAATGGCTTATGTGGAATTCATAGATAATGATCTTCCACCAATTCCCAAACTTCCAGAGCTTACTAAAGGAAAACTTGTAACTTTTCCAAGATTGAGTTCATGATGGTGAACTAAGGTATAAAGATGTCAAATTAAGGACACTCTACTTATAGCAGTCACACTACATTAAATCCCAGGGAACCGGACAAATACCCAACTTTTGTCAAATGCTCATGAATATTTAGTTATCAGGCTCTTTATTAACTACTGCTCTCATTCGCATCAACATACAGAATTTCATCAAATTTCTATTTTGTTTCATCATGTCCACAAATTGGCATTACAGTTAATGATCGTCATCTTTGATGATTTGTCATCTATAGTTGATATTTGTGTATGGTATATTCATTTATTTTAATTCATGATGGATATGTGCAATTAGGTTTATAAACTTATAGTGGAATTAAATAGTTATTTACATTATATACAAAAGTATTTGATTGTAAATTACAAATGTTCTTTTTCATGTTTGTGTTTTTGTAATATCATGTTGTGATTGCAAATGCTCATTTTTAAGTACATGTTCAGGATTCTCACTGTCTGTGCTTGTACTGACGTTTTCATTTACAACATTTTTCACAAATGTACTTTCGGTATTAACATGTTCACATTTCTCGTCTTTTGGAGTTGGCTTGCTGAAGTCTGGTGAGGTAATTTTCCTAACCCGCATGGATTGACCTATTGCAAAGGAAAAGAAGAATGCCATATTGATGCAAAAAACGTGGAATCGACATATAGGACTCAATAATACAACCTTGAAACAAATAAGTATATTGTGTGATTTAGACCAACCTTTACTCTGTGTGTCTGTTGCGTAGTTATTCACTGTCATGCTAACAGATCTTTCCACATTTCTGAATGGTCTAAATACTAAAATATACACCTTTGGTCCAAATAGACACACAAGTATTGTAGTTGCATTCAGTGTCGTATTTAAGCCCATCGTAATTGGCTCATAATTTTGCGTTGTTCCTAAAAGCACGGGAAGAAACGCAATCGATATTATGCACGTACTGTACATGACCAAACCAATGTACTTGACTTCGTTGAACATGGATATTGTTTTTCGAATGTAGACTGAATATACAGTACACAGCAGGATTAATATCATGATATACGGCAAGGATGTCATTAATTCTAGTCTTCCAAAGTTACATTTCGCAAAAACATCATCTTTTGTAGGTAAAACTTTTATGACTTCTGGAGGTCGTATGATCAATCCAGCAGATGCCAGGCTCATTTCCACTGCAATTAACAGAAAAACGACAACCAACTGGGTCTGTGGTTTTGCAAAATGTACAGATTTGACACTTCGTGTAGTAAATATTCTTCTACCAATGCGATCAATCTTTACGAAAAGAGATGCATAGCAAATGGTAGCCGAAAGGCCAAAGCCAAATCGTTGTACTGCACAGGTAACAACAGTCAATTTACTCACAAAGACGATTGCCGTTATATAGTTCAGTAAAACTCCCAGAAGTAACAGGAATACCAAGTCTCTTTCACTTGCTTTAACCAGTGGGGTATTGATATGATACGCCAATAAAGCAATAACTATCAATGTACAAAAAGCACCTAGGCCGGCAAAGAATGTAATGGTAATGGACCATCTGTTTGAAATATAACGTAATGGCAAATCCTCACAGCCGTCGTAATTTGAAGTCGGTTTTTGAAAACTTTCACAATCCATACATTTTGTTTTATTTTCTAAAAATATACAACATTATGAACAATGAGCGAGGAAGGTGATATGATATATAACTCATTAAGCATTTAAGAAGAAATCAAAAACACGGAGAAACATTTTTAATTCCGGGGCCGTTGTTAAAAAATTAACAGTTTACAGGACGATTTAGCCCCGATTAAGTTCTGTCACTTCTGTGTTCTGCAGCTACATTTATGCTTGAGAGCAATAATCAACAAGGAACCATATTATATTAATTATATAATATAATAGAGACCCACCCTGGCGCAATCTCTTAGTTCCGTCAAGGAAAATGAAAGAAGATGAAGGCTGATATAACACTTGCTGTTGTTAGTTGTTACAATGTTAGCGTCGTTGTAATTTTGAAATTCAAAATATTTTATACTCTGTATAAGTATAAAGGGGCAAAGATAACATAAAGAATGTTTATGTAACTGAAATAAAGAGTCTTTTAGTGCAATATCATTAAGGTCTGTTTACACAGTGACAGTTTTTTGCTGCATGTGACTTTGGGTGCGAGTTTAGGAGCAAAGAGTTTTGAATGATCTATTGTACTATTGTACATCGGTTTCATTTTTTGTTTCCTTATTTGAATATCCGTAACTTAATAACTGGTTCACATCTCAGCCGCGTACCCAGGCGCTTTTTGGAAATCGAAAACAAAAGTTATAAAGGTTGCATTCATCTACTGTATAGAGATCGGTGGCCAAGGAAAGGAAAGGAAAGCATGAACGCGCGGGTGTGTTTGTGGAGGACGCGACGAAAGAATGAAGCTTTTTTCCTCAAAACTATCCCAAGCACCCCCGCGTGCTTTCCTTCGCCACCGATCACTATATATTAGCTGAATGAAACCTCTATAACTTTGTTTTTTAAAAAAGCGCCTGGGTACGAGGCTGTTCACATCAGTACAACATAAAAACATTTCAGAAATTTTCCGGGTAAACTAGCCCTTATAAACTGAGGAGCTTACCAACATACTGGCGTTCCTTGTCTGGGCAGTCAATGCATTCATAACAACATACTGTTCCTTTCTTGGCAACTTTCCTACTCCATGGTTTACAGGTTTCCTTGCACGTAGATGTTTTATTCCTTAATCGTGTGGGAAAGTTTGTCAGATTGAGCGCTTCTTGCCCTTCTTTATGTTTTTCCTGCCACTCACCAAGCTTCTTGTATTGATCACGTTTAGTATAATGAAAAAAAGTGTACTTCCCCTTGGAATCTCCATTTTCATCAAATGAAACAAAATGGCCGGATGATGCTCTTTGAAATGTTACATTAAGAATACGATTTCTTAGTTCAATACCGTTAACAGGTCTCATTAGGGGACAGAGTCCATTCATTTCTGGGCATTTCTCTGCATACATTTCATGAAGAGCGTAAGCAAATGCGTAAACGGCGTCTATAACATACGAAAGTTTATCATTAAATGTCGTGTTGCAGGATGCGTTACCACATTGTAGCCAGTATTGTTGAAACCAGGGATTTTCTCTTCTTGGACTATTTCCAGTCAAGTTCCAAAAATACCTCTTGAATTTGGGTAATTCTAATGATGGTAATGTCAGAGTTATTGCATCTGTGTTAACAAAATAATCCCCTAAGTTCTCTACTATATCCATACGCCTTCCCCACTCGTCACTTGCGATCCATACAACACCCACATAATTGTTCCTTTTCGCTGCTTGTAGCAACAATTTTAAATGATTGTCTTTTAAGAACAAAACTACAACCCGAGTTGATGAGAATTGAGAAAACATATTTATTATCTCATCATAACGTGCGCTTGTGTATTCATCAGTCACTTGTTTAGAAAGAACAACACAGACACTTGTCTCGACACTTGCAAGCTTCTTGAATTCTTCAATTCCATTTTCACCATAACTTCCAGCCGAGTTGACGGTGAATACTGAACTCCAATTAAATATTTTTACGACATGTAGCATGGCTTGGGCCTGAAGTGAATCTGGAGGAACAGTTCTTGCAAAAAAGCTGTATTTCTTTGTGTTACTTAACTCCGCACTTGTTGATGCATAGCTTACTTGCGGAACTTTAAACAGTCTCAACAGTTTGGCAACTTCGATTGATAATGAACTTCGGGAAGGGCCAACGACACCAACAACGTCCTTTGTTGTGTTTAATCCACATTTCTCGCCTTGCTTCGAACTCGAATCCAGAGAGTCTAAAATAAACTTTAGTGACTCATCCAAAGCTTTAGTTTTTAAACTACACGTGTCCCGAATTTCTGCCCCAAGCGTCACGTTCGGTAACAGGTTTGTGTTATTGTTGATTTCATGAATAGCATACAACATCGCTTCAACTCTTTGAATGCCGACTTGAACCTCGACGTCTCTATCGCATCCATTTGTTCCGTTGATCTTCCGTATCCTAAAGAGACCACCGAGTACAAGATCTCCATCAATAATCCCAGCAGTGTCGTCTTCTTTTCCAGTCCCTTTGCAGAATAGTCTGGTGTAGCTGAACACAAGGAATACGTAATACCACGTTATCCAACGTTGATAGGAACCACAAAACATTACCAATAACTGTAAACAGAATCGAATTCGCTATAATTCGTAATATGTTTCACATAAAATATTTCATATAAAATGTTATGATAGTATATTATCAATTTTATGTAGCTATACGGAGATAAAGCGACTGGACCGACATCTGGTGAACGTATACAATAGGCTAATCCTTGCCTCCTTTCCGTGATCATATCATGATATCACCGAAAAAGTATCCATATTTCCGCATTGTTCCGAGAATGGGAAGTGCCTCTGACTGCCTCGACATGCAGTTAACAGATCATGTACAATTTTAATGAACACACAATATAAAATGCCGTATACGTCGTCATTACTTTCGTTACATGCATGTACAACCTATAATACTCCCTATATGACCCTTAAAATTCATTCTCAACTCTCTTTTAAATTCAACCAGATAACAACTTCGTCAAGAGCGGAAGTACAATGCAGACCTTAACGTATATAGTATAGTATGTAGTACAGGTCTGCTGAAGCTTATATATAGTTTTAATTTGGTCGTTGCTTGTCGCTATTACGACAGGTGGCTGATGTAAAGAGTGTCATTACATCTTTGCGATCAGTATAAACGTGTTTGATTAGCAAAAACAAAAGACAAGATACTAGTAAACCTATATATAGACCTTTTCACATGAAGCAAAGAAGCACTTATCACTATAGCGACAGATAATGGAAACTGTAGTTAATTCCAAAATACGTGACACTGTTTGACCAATCCTGCATGCCAACCAGCTTTTATATAGAAATTGGCAGCACTATATATATATCCCATCCGGTGCTTTGTAATAAATGATAAGAACCTATAGTATAGTTCTATAGCTATAGTTATTTCACTGGTTGTGATCTAACCGTATTAAAAGAAGGCTTAAAACCAGTTCTCCACTATAGGCGAATTTATTCGCGCGATCAGATAAAAAGTAGGAAGCGATTCTACTTTTTCGACGGCGAACATCACTGGAATTCAGATATCGCTTCACGTCGCGCGAATATACTCGTCTAGTAGAATACGGGCTTAAGGATCGAGCCAGGCACATTTGTCTTTGATTGCATGGTATAAAATACAATCAGTCTATATTGGTTTCGCGGTTAAATATCCTCCATTTGGCCATAACTGCAATTTTCAATTTTCAGACTATATTCTCGATTCTTCGCAGAATCTTCGCAAATATAAAGAAAGCCACATTCGTGTGCAAGACATATTATCAAGACAATAAACCATGCATTTTATGATAATAATTACAATACCACGACATGCACGTTCATGCATTCGTTAATTCATGCAGGGCAAAGTGCATGATGTCAAGACTAAGTATATTTTTATCTCAAAATATGAGTTTCAAAATATGAATAAGAAGTACGTATATTAATACACAAACTTGACAATTTGTCAATTATATATAGATATATAATGACTAATGCATATAGTATATATAGATTCGAGTTTATCAACCCGTGAGTGAAATGTTTGAATCAATAAATCGCGAATAAACTGTATTAATAATTCGTATATAGACTGTATTATACGATTTCAGATAGGGCCGATATATGCATGCACAGCACTTGAATTCGGTTTGTATGATCTTATATGTAAAGTGTATATTAGTTATACTGAGACATATACACGAACTGTAGTAGTAATATAACACAAATCAATTCTCAATGGACATGCTGTGCTGCAACTTGTTATACAAATTGTTTTCGGTAGCTATATATAATATTGTGATATTGTGAACTGCATTAGCTATATCGTACATATTGAAATTGATATGGCTATAATAGCATCTTCAGTTGTGTGAAGATTAAAACAGGCCATTCATAGTAAATTAGTAAATATAATGTGTGATCGTAACTTCCTATTATGCCCTTGCCACGTTACTGAATACTAAAATTTATCAAGCTATAATGTCCACACGTATTATATTTAGCAGTCGGAACATCTGATAAGAGGAACTGAATCGACTGTGACGAATAACTTCTTAATTAATGTAGTTAAAATCAATCTACGATACTGAATTCAACAAGGGTAAACTTAGGGTAAACTACATGGAGATAAAAGTCTTGAAAGTCTAAGATACACTACACGACTCCGTATTTCAAGTATAAAACGACACCAACGGCAACACAGCATCGTGACATCATCCACACTTACTTCAATTTCCTTTTATCAGTTTGATGTACCTGTATTGGTTTCACCATAGACATAGTTGTACGCCTTGAAGTGCTCAGCTTTAGAATATACTTTATATGTACGAATATTCAGGCTTGCCGCATTGTTTGTTCTGTAACAATATACCCATGATCTTTAATAAATGAAGACTTTCTGAATATCAATGAGGTACTCAGAGTCAATGTGAAAGTTCACTGCATAAACGGAATGCGATATTTATGATTTGTTAATAATGATATGTATATACGTGGAATGTTGGTGGTGCTCAAGTAGAATTGTATTCGCCAGACACCACACATCCGCCGTTTATCAAGATATCCTATGACGTTTACATGAGTTACGATTCCTGCGGTATGTTTAAATATTGACACTTAATATCATATCCATGGATGCACGAAAAATTTGCAATTAATTTTCTAGGCCAGTCAATGCTGACGAGTGGTGATCTTAAGCAGATGGTCAGATAAATGCAACCTCGTACCCAGGGTCTAATAGGATCAAGTGACCTTGACTGTCCTAGAAACTATCAGTGATCAGTATTCCACAAAATTACAGTAACAGATTGTAGTATCTTCTTGTTATTTGGTATAAGTATGACTGCAAGTGTTTTATTTCTTTCTTGTCTTGCATGTGATAATTTTATAGAACGTTTATCAGATTTCCAGAGAAAACGAAAGAGTTTTTGAGGAAGTATAGCCATCCTTACTTTTACTCAAGAAACGATTTTTTGAAAATGTAACCAACATGGTATTTGATATATATTTTTGATATATCTTAATAAGGACCCTTTAAAAACCTCTAGAATTTACCTACATCAAGTGAAGTGCTAAAAATCATAATATATATATATATATATAAATTTTTAAAGTTTTTTGCCTCGGGATTTTTTACTTTCTCACGTTATTCCTATTTTTGGCAAAAAGCTACCTTGCACGAGAAGTATACTTGCATGTCGTTATACCACTATCCAAAGGCTGTCGTTGTCTGCCGTAAACTAATATTATTTGGAGACCCTTAGCTTGACGTTTACGCCGGACAACCCTATAACGGCAAACAGAAAAATTCATTTCGAATTTTCAAAACAAATGCTAGGTTTCTAAGGCCAAGAAAATTGGTGCATTATTTTGAAACATAGAGTAACTACTGAGACAAATTGTGGCCGAGAAAGTGCCAAAAATCTAATTTTAAATGTTATTCGAAATTAGCCGTTTGCTGTTCGTGGTTTGTTATATTGTTTGAGCTAAAGGTCTCTATTGTAAGTCCCAGCCCGGCGAACAAGCTTATTTTTTTCCATCCGTTTAAATTATGTAACGATCGAGTCGTTATGACCTTCACCGACCTCCAAAGGCGTGGCATGTAAAGTTGCCGACAAAATTAAAGATGTGTACATGTATAGCAAAATATGCAAAAAAAGTTAGTCCGGCGTGGACATTTTCTTGACCTGGTAGGCGTTGGAGGGGTGTAGGTTGTTGTTTTTGCCTAAAACAGTGCTGTGTTGAGTGTGGTCAAATAAAACCGCATTTTCTAACAGACAGTACTTCCCCTATACAGTTAGAGTATCATGCCGTACTTTCAGAGGGTCAGACGGCTTGCGGCGAGAGGGGCAAAGTTTATTTCCCTTTTCTCTGCCTGTTTTCATTTTTCCCTGTCATCCTCCCGCTCCTATCTTATTACAAAATATCATTTTCCACGAAAATAAAGCCGGATTCCCGGCGTCCATTGTAGACAAAGTACTTACTATAATAGTGCGCCCGCCGGGTGGGCCCACCGTGATGTTTCATTGTCAAGCAATCTTGGCGGCTCAGTAAAATGCCTCGTGTTTTATGACGAGAGGGACCATTGATTTAAGCCATTCTGACATGTCTGCATATTTCATATAAAAGGAAATCACCCCCCCCCCACACACAGGAGACAGTCGCACAGTAATATGTACGGCTTTCAACCACTTCTAATATCCAATTGGTTTTACAAGATTAAGTGCGATGGTCGCATAGACATGGACAGATATCACAACAGATTGCATAGACTGTCCTAATGGAATAACATAAACCGATGCTCTATATTTGGTATGCACGTTGCAATAGTTTTATTGAACAGCTGCCTAAAATGAAAGCGATGGCAAGATAATCTGCGCAATCACAATATAAACCACCCACTAGGCGTAAGTGTTGAAAACTTTAAAATTTTAATAAAGTCTTCAAATTTTAATGCAAACAATCTTCAGCTTTTGGCGATAAAGGTTCTGCACAGTCCACTCAATATATTTACAGAGCGTCTGAAGTATGTGCTAGCCATATAGGGTATAGAAAAGTTGAGCATGGCCATGGAGCAACTCAATTGTGGGGCAGGCCACTTCGATTCGGTACAGATACAGTATCACATCACTAGCAAGAAATACGAGAAATAAATCCTAGAGAAATGCATGCTCAAGCTTCTAATTTGTACTGCAATATCCCATATTATTCCTTCTTACGTCATATAAATCTTAATTGCTACACTAGTGTGAGTGCTTGGGCAATTTACTAGATTATGAGGGCCAGTTAGAGTTTTTGGACTTTCAAATTCGTCGAACCATGATTACAGCTAAAATTTCTTAAATTTTATTCAGTTCCATTTAATTCGGAATTGTACATCAGTACATGCCCAAAGGAAACTACAACATTTGGTATTCAGTCACAATATTTCAACTTAGTTTATTAGAATATAATGCAACAAATACAAAAATGCGGCGTAATGTCCGAACAGTGCATACAACTGTATATGCAGTTGCGCAAAATATAACGCAGTTCGTTAAACATGAACAGATGATTGCATGCGTGGTTAAGCCTTACTGAAAGATATTTTGAAGGGACGTGACATACCTGCAATCTTTTCACGTTTTTTTATCCGTGAGTTTCACTGTTGTTTCACTGTATGTCTGTATCTGTGTTGTGGCAGTTTGGATGCAATATTATTATACGAAGCCTGGAAATGCGTAGTTACCATGGAGAATATCGTCAATACGTTGTTTTTTTTTAATTATTGGCGAAGAAAATGATTATTTTAATTAGTTGACATTTTAGCTTTTCATTTTAATCACGGTTTTCATCGATTTTAATGACAAGGCCTTCGCGACATTTTTAATGAATTAAATAGAAGTATAGTTATAAAATGAAAACGTTCAAAATTTCCAAGCATTGAACAAAAAATATAACTAAGTAATGTAACTGCAGACAAAACAAAGAGCTCACAATGTGTTTTTTATGCTCACAATGATATTAATATTCATAGCTCGCAAAACAGACATTCTCGATATAGTTATAACTTATAGTATATCTCACGAGTCTGTGACTCTCAGTCTCTTTAACTATATAGTCGTCACCGGGTGGACTACATAACTATATTGTCATTGTAATCCACCTGCCCGAGAAAAATGATTAATATGATAAACCCTGATTTCCCATCAGATTAAAACGGACATTCACGCGCATTTTAAACATGCAGATTCTATAATTAAAGATGAATTAAAGGCACAGTCCAGCCCTCAGTAGACTACCCTAATAGCCGACAAATCTTTCTCTAATCAATTTACTGAAAGATGAAGTTAATGCATGAATCATACCCATATTTAACTTTTTGGTACACAGTCTACCCTAGCCTAGCACTAGCTATCATACCTCTTATGATACAGAAATCATCATATGCATGGATAAATCATCCTAAATCGACAAGCCGCGGTCATGTAAAATCTAATTGTATCACAATCAGTACACAGCCACAGGGAATGCAATTATGAAAATCTCATTTCCTCCCCTCCTAGCTCATGTCAGATGCTTGCCATATTGATGAATAAGATGACTGAGTTATCAGCTGTTGTAACAATAATTAGTCCCATTGTAAATCGCATTAATAGTCGCTCCTTTCAGACATGTAACCATGTATAAGCACAAATAACCCGCATTTTGCAGTTTTTACACCAATCGTGCACCAATCTACTGTTTTAACTTCGATTTAGTACATATATATATAATCTAATCTTAATTATTGATGTTTTTAAAAGTAGATAGAAAATTGTGCTGCAAAAGTACACGCGATACGTAAACGAAATACATATATTTTCTAACAATAATTCTTAAACATATAGAGTGTATATAACGCAATTTCTCTAACAAAAAATGTAATGTTCGATGCATCAATCAATTATATAACTATATAAACTTTAAACCGAGGTGTCAAAAATGTGTCCATGGCACAACAAATAACAAATTAATAAAACTAGGCGGCCGTTGTTCGAAGCCGAAGGCCTCCGTTAAGTTTACGAAGTTCGTTATCAGATTTGAGTTTAACAAAAACTCACGTCTCGCCAAATATACGGTACTCCGGACCCGTGTTACCTAGTATGGTACCTGAACTTGTCTCCACTATGTCTTCGTCAGTCTTTGTTTTCTTTTCTTCCAATCCGAAGTCATCAAAACCACTTTTACTACTTTTAGAATCTTCTGCAAAAACAATGTCCTTGTTTGATTTGTTCATTACGTCAGGTTTTTCATCGATATTTCCCGTCTCATCGACAGCACGCTTTCTTGGGCTTCTATTATGGAAAGACGTTTTTAACTTCACTTGTTGCGCCATGGTGTTTTCGTTTTCTCCATGGTAAAGTCCCAATGTGTCTTCTGAATGTGCCATTGTAATCTCAGTGGGGGTATTCGTGAGCATAGATGAGGTATGTGGTAGTTTAACATCGCTGTGTTTGGATGAGTTTGAATAGTTTTGTGATTCTTTAATCTCACCAAGGCATTGTTCTGTGGATTCAACGGCAATTGTTCCACCTGGAAGCGAGAGTATCATAAAACTGGGTTTCTTTTTGTGGTCCAATAAATTTGGTATGTTGATATTACCGATTATGTTGTTTTGATCGTTTTCTGTCTCTTCAATCCTCCTATTGTATTGTTTATTCGAATCTATAGTATCGTGTACTTCATCTGGACATGGCTGTTTTATTACATTGCGGTTTATATTGCTTTGAACGTCAAGACCTAGTGACTCGACATCTTCGGGTGTCATCTGGTTTCTTGGATGTAGTGTGGTAATTGACCTTTTGGCATTTGTTCCGTCTGAACGAGGTGGCGGAATCATTGTGGACATGTTTGTCGACACACCATTGAGGTGTTGGGCTGTAATAAGCGGGTTGTTCCGGAGATTTTGTACATCTTCAATTTCACTGTGGTATATATTACTTGACGATCTGCTGGTCGCCCTGTCAGTGCGTTCATTCTTAGAAATACTTTGGCGGTGTACGACTAGTATTTCTGTGTCGTTGCGGGTGTTGCTGATATTTTGTTTTGAATACAGACGTTTCACATCAGTGTGTCTACCTAAGTCCATATTGGCGGAATGAGTTTGTTGTTGGGGATAACCAGATGTATTTGAGGGGTTATTTGTTGCACACGAAAGCTTAATATCAAAAGTTGGTTTGTTTTGGTTTTCTAAATGTAGTAAATTTTGATGTAGATTATTCTGGTTTGGTTGGTCACTAGTTGTGTCGTAAGCGTGATTCGCTGTATACTCAATTGTGCGCTCGTAATATCTGCTCAATGCTTGGGTAGCATCCTCTTGATTTGATGAATTTTCATCACTTTGTGAATTTGTAGATATGTCTAAGGGATATGTCGCTTTCAAATCATTGCTTGTATTATCCTGGTGTCTCTGGTGTGTTGTTTCAATCTCACTATCTTCTCCAGGTGTTTCATCACAGACACTAAGTTGTTTTTCATCTTCAGTTTCTAATTCACTGTCCGTGGTCGTCGACTCCTTGCTTCCTCCATCTTGTTCCTTCTTACGTTTCTCTGTCGCGCGACGGTTTTGAAACCAAACTGAGATTTTGTCTTTACTTACTCCAGTTTTCGATTCTAATTGCATTCTTTCACCTGGCGATGGATATTTAGAACCATGAATGAAAGATTCTTCCAAGATAGCACGCTGTTCATCCGTGTATTGTGTCCTCGGCCTTCGACTGTGAGATTGGCCTGGATCAACGTAAGCTATGTTAGAAAACAATTTTAAATAAAAAATAATTACATATCAATTGTTTTAAGTAGTAGGACCCTTCCAGCCAAATAACTAAAGGTAGGTTGGGCAACCTATAAACATTCATATATTAGGAGTAAAAATTGTCTTTATAGGTCTATAACAAAATAGAAAAATAAGAAACTAGGATGGTGGAAGGTTAATCAAGATGGCGAACACTGATATCATGAATGCGAGGGCCGTATAAGGGAGTGCCGTTTCAGACTGCTTTATGTATCATTCTCGTACCCAGAGCTCCTCTCATGCACGGTTTTTGTGTAAGAAGATCGGTGACAGTTCGGTACAATTTGACGTCGATATATAGTTTCAAAAGATTGGCCGGGGCAGGCAGCCGGCTCTGCGGACATGAGTTAAGGGGCTGTTTACATGAGATTCAACGAAGCGTGAGATTTTTTGAGATATTGGAATGAGTACGTAGCATCATGACTGCGATGTGGTCATTCCAACAATGGCATGTGCTTGTTTTGTTTGTTTCATAAAGACTTCTTTCAATACCTCAAAATCATGCCAAGCTTCGTTGAATCTCAGGAATCCGGGCGCATGTAAACAGCCCCTTATTTGCAAAATAATAATGGTTTAAAAAAAGAGATTCTTTAGCATTTGTTAGGAAGGAGAGGGGTATAGTTTCTCGATGGAATAGCCATTTTCTGCTTACAAACATAAGCCCTAAGTGCCATTTTTTAACTACTTTCAAAAAGAGTTTTTGAAAATGAAAAAATACCTTGCTGATGGGGTGTCATTGGCCAAGGAAAGTTAACAGCTTGGTACTCCAATCCTGGAAAACTTTGTCCTTGTAAAAATGGGTTTGCAACTCCATCAGGCACGTACGGTGTCGAGTTGGGAAACCAATATTGTGTGTTAGGCGGCCAAGGATAACCAATTGGTATTGTATTGTATGGCGGGAATGCTACACTAGACATATTAGGATATGGCCATTGCCACTGACTTGCTTGCCCTGATCGGTCTTGCAAATCTCTGGAATTTTGACCGGTGTTGTTGTCGTGGTTTAGCAATTGGCGCCGATAATCCATCAGTTTTCCGTCGTACGTTTTACTTCGCAATTCAACTAATATCTTTGCAGCTTCTTTTCTATGGAAACGTTTCACTTCACTCATTCGGCCAATTTAGAAAACTAAACAAAGTCAAAGACATAAATTAACAAACATACTGACAAACAATTTAAATTTGTTTGATGTTTTTAAAATCCGAAAGCGCTGTATGGTGCCAAATGTAGACGATGTAATGTTGTTGTCGTTTTGTGTGTGTAAGGTATCTTGCGACATGTACAGTGTGTGTCTTTGAATGGGTTTCCTTAAAACTGCAACATTTTGGTGCCAACAGTCTGACTTTTTGTTTTTTCTTATTTCGTTCGCATTTTGATAAAAGAAATAGTATAATTGACAATTATATATCAATCATTAGAGTCGTTCAGTCTAATTGTATGCTACTGGTATATTTTGCAGGCGTTTCACAGATAGGTATTAGGTAGCATTGCGTATATTCTGTGACTTCTTTTCATTGTACTACTAGTCAGCACTTACTTCACTTACTCAGGTTCGGACAACCTGGACAAGGTCACAGCTCTTAAAACTAGTATTCCTATCTCGTCATCGCCGCAATGCCCATTCAGTTGTTGGTGGTAACTAATGGAAAGTGCTTCGTCTGTCTTGGAAACAATTCCAGCTTTTCATAGGCGACGAGATGAATTTACGGCATACATTGAAAATCAAGCCTTAAGATCAAAGCTTACCGCTATGTCTATGAACTATATTAAAAGGCTACAAGCAGCACTTGTGCAAACAGCTGAAAACCGTCTAAAACATCGTAATCATTCAGTTTTCATATTATTTCACTATCAGTAGATATCCCACTAGCTTTGCCTAAAATATATAACTACAAATATAAATAGGATATTTTCGGTGCTGTAAAAACTTAACTACTTTAAACGATATATTTCAGTTTGGTCCAGAAGCAGCGATGCCAGCTAGAGCATTGACAGTCTATACTAACTCGACGCAGTTATAAATTGACATTACAGTACACATATCTGACATCTCAACACCAAATTCAGCGTTTCCATTACGCCAAATTTATATAATATATTGATAAATGACGAAGAGCGATGCCAAAATTTATGCAAAGTGAGAAAGTGTATAACGTACTATAAAAATATAAAAACTGTTAAAATTTTTATTCTTACCTGTAATAAATTTTCATGCAGTCATGGAATTGGCAGGTTTGAGAAACTGAAACAAGAAATATTTACAAGATATCTTACAGTTCATTTACCTGCCAACGGCGCCTGATTTATAAACGAATGATGGCGTCGCCACATCAGAAGCCTAATTAAATTCAAAATTTCATATAATTGACCAATCATCGCGAACGATTTAAACTTTTCGCGGGACCGTGCAGCTTGCAGCCTTGCACTGCGTCAAGAAACCTGGAAATAACTTAATGAATTTTTTTTTCCGCTTTGTTTTCATATTTATTACTTGACTACAGCTTGCATTTTTCTGTCAACTGAATTATGGTCAAATCAAGCACTCGCTAGGTTTTAAATTATTGAGGTTCGCAGTTCACCATTCTGTTGCCGTCTGAACAGAGGCAAAATGACCAAGGTCACTGACTACACTGAGCTATATAACAATTATTATATATAATTAGATTGAATGAATTTTGGTCATGTTTGCACACTATTATGTAACTGTGAATTTGACAACCAAAAATGGATAACAACAAATGGATTTAATTAAGGTTTTTAAAGTTCAATACATAACGTGAAAATGGAAACAAGCACTTGTACCTTGTCTCTTTGAAAAAAATTGTTAAGGCAATTTTTTGGCCTGCATTGATTACTGCAGCAAATCTCAATTCTCAACTGACAAGTAGCACAGCATAACGGCATTCACAAAAGACACTTTTTAATCCTGCCATGCTATGTATTTAATCCTGCTATGAGTTTGACTGTACATTTCAGTATTTTACCTCATATAATCTGACCATCTATGCTTTGGAATTTAGATGTCTCATGTCTCAGAGCTGTGGGGGCAAGCAATTGAGCTAGATACCCAATACAGTTCAATTTTTGTAATTTAAAATGCTTTAAGTGAGAAAAATCAAATTTACATCCTCCCAAGTCAGAGTTACTTTTCAGCATTGTGAACTTGACATAATAACATTGTCCTCTTTTGTTGTAAAAGAGCATAGTACCAAAACTGACTCATAAACAACAAAAATATAGGATAGTACTGGGTTAGTCAACAAAAAAGCACAAGAGAAAAAATAAGAAACTTCCTCCTAATCAGTAAAATGGACATTGGCCACCCATGTTGATGTGGACTAATTAACTTTTGTTTCTCTGTAATTCTGTACACCACCAATGATCCTTTCTCAGGAATATCCTTTATTTTGCAGGAATATAGTTATAGTCGATTAAACATTTGTTTCCCTCGTTGTTTCTAAAATCAATGACGAGACTGTCACTGAGAGACTGAATAATAATTATGATTTATATGAAGTTCCATAATCCATGAGTTTTAACCTTTCAAATGCCGTTTCCAGAGTAAGCCCGTTCGCGGGTTGGTATTAGTTGATATATATCACCCAAAATATCACCGAGTGCCATCAACATTCAACGAAGACGAGCGTTTGTGCAAAACTTTAGCAAATGTGTCGTAGGAAAAAAGGCGAAGAATCTGTAGAAAAGTGTTGTCATGAAGGGTTACTTTCGATATTCACGTCGGCAATTGCCGAATGCTGATGTGGACTTTAAGGGCTGTATACCTAACTACCCATATCTTGTGTTTTTCAGTCATTGTGTGCTGAAAGAGAGAAAAAGGAAGCGCATTTTTCCGCCGACCATGCAATCACGCGGCCGGATTCGGTTTTCACTTCTCGTTGTCGGGATTTAGGATTACTAATGTCATCATAGGCTCTGAAACATTGAAACAAACTTAGGCATAACTCCATAAACTCCATAAAAGAATAATCACGAGTGCTCGAACAACCTATCAGTAATATAAGATATTATCAGTATATTTCAAAGAGAACTAATAAAAGAATGAGACATGCATAAGTTAGCATGCCACGTTTTAGCTAACTACAAGTACAAAACTCAACAAGGACGGGCCACAGTGAACCAAAAACTGATGTTATAAAAATATTTCCAACGTGCATCTGCACCTACTATAGAGCGAAGATAGAACGACATAAGTATTATTATTATATCAAATGTATCCTGGGAACAATTACATGCATGCTTTCGTATACCAATTACATAGATTAAAAGTTTTCTGAAACTCTAAAAGAGATTTCTTGAAACGCACCACCAGGTTGTGAGAGAACAATGCTTCCTTGTCTATGCCATTCTAAATGGTAAATACAGCTTGTTCAATGATCTCATTTAGCAAGACGTACATTTTATCACAATGTAATGCAAATATCAAGCCGCATAAGTAACTATAAGAGATGACAAGAAAAAACAACAATTATATGAAACCAAAATGAAGAACATGTCATACGTGCAAAAAAATACTCTTACTGCGCGAAAAATAAACTTAGAGTTTTTGTAAGAACCTATACGAACTACTAAGTTTTATTTGTGTATTATCGTATCGTGATTGACTCGGGCAGGAAATGTTTGATTTTATAACAGAGTAATCTCTAATAACGAAATGGAATATGAATAACTATATCCCAGAATTTTGACCCATATTCGCATGTGATAAAATTTTGTACTTCACTGGTACAAGGGCTAAAAAACTTCTCATCCCAGTTATTTCAAGACCATAATTTATGTGTAACTGTTGTCTTACCTAAAAATTGAAAAAATACTTTGGCGACTGTTGTTCTTTGTGATCCAGTAAGAGAAAAAAATTGTGACAAACTCTGCACATCATCACCCATATCCACCAATCTTTAATGCGAGTCGTATAATCAGTAAATTTGTCAATGATATGTTCTTATCACGTTAACAATTGCGTTTACAGTGCATTTGGAAAATTCAACAATCAGAAAACTTCACTACAACATCATCATTGTTGTACGTACTCATCCTCTGCAATACTTTCAAAAATGTTGTAGGGAATTAAGGCTAATAGGGCCCTCTTCCTTCCTTTAAAAGGGAGATCTCGAAACAGAGCTATAGACATAATAATTTACTTGAGTTACTTATTTATTTTACCTTCGTATTAGATTTTCAAACGTGTCCTCGCCGGGTCCATCTAAAATGTCTACAATGTCTTCCATCCCTTCGGATATATCCGGCAGATTTTCTTTTAAAGAATAAGACATAATACTTGCAAATGAAATTTTTAGGAAGAACTAGATATTTACTGCACCATAACAAGATTAAGAGAGATTTCACAGAAGGGTTAAGTCTTTAATATCAAGGACTTTCTCAGTAACGCTCTATTTGACCTCAAGACTATTCCAAACCTGTTTCGACTTCTTGAATCGTGTCCATGGAAGACGGCTTGTCAGGTGTAATTCCAGGAATGTGGTCTAACGAATCAGGTCTGTAAGAATGTCAGCACATACTATCATCAAAACGTACGCGGGCTAAATTGAACTGCCTTTTACAGATTTTTCTGTCCTTCAAGATAATTTTGGGAGAAAAGATCTTGCTCCTGCATGGGTACGCCATTTGTTTCATAATAAGGTGGAATTTACTATTTACCTTGAAACATCAATAGATTTTTCATGACCAATTACTAGTATGGAACAAAATATAAAAGTGATATAAGAATGATATCTTGACGAGATATGATCTTATTGATCTACTCTCTTATAGTTGTGCTCAGGGCAAAATTTTGATTTAGAGCCCTGATTTAGAACCCTACACCATAGTTCTACTGAGTAAGTGATTTTGTAAGAGGATTATATATATTTATGTATAATTATGTATACTTTTAACAATATAGTTTCAATCTAGCCAGTATAGTATTTTGGGAACCAGGCCTGGATAGATCGCTTCGTTTTGTCTTACCGGAATTTTAAGCGGAGACATTGACCTTAGGATAAGAATACTCACACGAATGACTTGGTGTATCAGCAATTGAAGGTATTTCACTTATAGTTTTGGAATAATCCATTTCACTTCCCGTTTGATCACGACCAGCCTATAGGTTAAGAGAATGTTAGTATATGTTGAAGGGTAAAAATTTATTGTAGTGAGCAGTGGCGTAGCTAGGATTTAGAACATGTCCCGCCGGATGACACAAATAAGGGGGGTCCGGGGGGATTCTCCCCCGGAAAATTTTTGAATCTAGACCCTCGGAAATGGCATTTTCGGCGATTTTGAGATTGTTAAGAGGCTAATATGAAGTGCTATAAAACACCCCTGAAATATAAAATTTGCGCGTAGATGTCTCAAATTTTTCCTTCTCGGTTGAACTTTGCACTAGTATTTTCTAACAATTTAGGCTCAGAGTTCTCTGTAGTTCTAAAGTATGCGTTGGGCAGGAAAAAACCGAAAAATTGCCTATGCAGAACATGAAAACACTCATCATAGCCCAAATATATACTAAGAATAAAAAAGGAAACACTTTCAACATGCTGCATTTATTTCTAAGATGTAAAAGTTACCGTCCGAAGACGTCAATTATTATATTTTTGAATTGCCCAAAAACTCAAACTCAACCGCAGGTGCTGAGGTGCACGTGGGTATCTCCCCAAATAGAACATTAAAAAAGTGTGGATGTATGCCTTAACAAAATGAGGTCACCACTAAAGTGGGTATCTCCCCAACATTAAAAAAGTGTGGATGTATACTTTAACAAAATGAGGTCACCACTAAAGTGGGTATCTCCCCAAATAGAACATTAAAAAAGTGTGGATGTATGCCTTAACAAAATGAGGTCACCACTAAAGTGGGTATCTCCCCAACATTAAAAAAGTGTGGATGTATACTTTAACAAAATGAGGTCACCACTAAAGTGGGTATCTCCTCAACATTAAAAAAGTGTGGATGTATGCCTTAACAAAAAGGGGTCACCACTACTGTGGATATCTCCCCACAGTTCTATTATTAGAAAAATATTAGTTAGATAGCCCTAAAAGGAAAATCATTTAAAAAAATAATGAAGTATCATTTAAAAAGAAATGGAAGCCTCCTGGGTTTTTCAACAAATTTCTTGATAATGTGCTCATGCAAGGTATTGTCATCTTCTAAAAGCTGTATGATATCTTTGTGAATAGAAATCCTACAAAGAGAACTGAGTCGGGCCTGGCCCATCCTGTTTCTTAAATATCCCTTAACCCTTTTTAAACAGGAAAATGATCTTTCAACTGATGCACTTGACACAGCTAAGACCCCATTCATTTTGAATAACTTGACAGCTTCTGGTAAACTAGACTGAAGATTAAATTGAAATATATATTTAAGAACTTCATTACTAGACTCCTTATGGAAGTCCTTATCATTGTAAATAAAACTAAGTTGACTCTGAAGCATTGAGAGATCAAAAAGGCTTCCATACATTTCCTTGAGAAGGGTTATTTTCTCAGGAGGAGGAACTCCATTCCAAGTTGAAAAAACCTTTGGATTTACCAGATCTAAAAACTCAAATTGTTTCATATCTTGGAATCTCTCACTTAACATTCCTACAATGGAATCAATTATCTCAAAATAAAGGGCTTTGTAATTATGTTTTTTGTCTGCTTTACTTGCAGGTTGACCTACTTTATCTACCGCTTCTTGATAAAATTTACCAAACTCTTCATCGGTACGAAGAGAAGAAACAAAATTTTTAAAACTTTCAATCTTGCTTATGCCATAGCTAAAGTCTGTACCTGTACTCTGAAGCACTGAATACAAAATAGAAGACTGCTCTAAAATTTTGTAAAAAACACATACTAAAAAACAAAAGAGAAAACTGTTAAGATAGTGCAGTAAGCCACTAACCTTACTCAATGATTCATCATCCCAACCATTAGGTTGATCTGTTATTCCTTCAAAAAGTTCTAAAAGTTTCTCATAATTATTATACAAAACCTTAACAACACGGGCTCGATAATACCATCTGGTATCACCAGGGCTAGGGAACTCAAGATTATGGGAGGTCAGAAATGCCTTTCTTCTAGGGGCATTACTTGTGAAAGTACAAAAACCACCTATATTGATAAAAAAAATTTTGACAGGGGCAATAGATGAGGCAGACTGACACAAAACAAGATTTAACCTGTGAGCTGCACAATGGACAAAATGGGCAAAAGGATACTCTTGACGAACCAAAGTTTGAACACCATTAATGTGGCCAGACATGACAGAAGCACCATCATAAGTTTGCATTATAAGCTTCTCCTTCATAGTAGAAAACTGACCAAGTTTATCTTTCACAACTTCTGATATTGCAGGAGCAGTCCTATTCATACTCACATCCACAAATCCTAATTGTCTTTCAACAATTTCACTACCCTTATCTAAACGTCCAATTATACTTACCTGCTCTTTGGTAGAAACATCAGAGGTCTCATCAACCTGCACACTGATAAAAGTACAATCATCTATCTCCTTCATAATTACATCATCAATAACAGAATCAATACAATTAATTAAATCATTTTGAATTTCAGGAGACACCGAGACACCCCAGTAAAACGCCCACCCCTTCCAGATTCAGCCAACCTACCATGCAGTCTTCGTTCAAATACAGAATCAAACTTGGCAAAGGACTCAAGCAACTCTCTATAATTTCCTTTATTCAAACTATCTTCTTTCTCATCGTGACCCTGAATGCCAACTCCTGTTTTGATAAATATAGTACTGCTTCGGTCTCAGTCTTAAGGATCTCCCGATTTTGTCTTACCTCTTCATTGTGCCTTTGAATTTCATCCCTTCTTGCTTGCGAAAGAAGAGAATCCACTCCCACATTCACCCCAAACATTTTCCACATCTTGTAGGCAGCCAAGTGTGACTTGGACTTTTCATGCTTTTTCCCATCTGACATCAAGCTTCTCATGTCCGTATAGCCAGTCTTCGTCCATGTGGGTGACGTTCCCGGACAGAACAAAAGACATGGCCAACAGAACAATTTTGCTAAAACAGAGCTGCCACAAAGCCAATCCTTTTTAGAGTACCACTCCTTCATGAATGACCTCCCCTTATTCTTAATATTTAAATTTGGAGTTGGTCGTTCCTTGACAATAACATTTTGTTCAACAGTTGGTCGAACAGAAAAAGATCTCATCAACAAAGCATTTACAATATCAGATACACATGATTGAACAGAAACAGGATTGGTCACGCTTGTTGATGCCATTGTATTTGTATGCAAATCTCAAGGAGAAAGGACAATAACAAATATGAATATATGAATATATTAACCTACCGTCACGGTTGTGTGTGTACTCACGCAGAAAACTTCGTAAGAAAGGCTGAATATTAACAACCTCCGCCTTTATAAAATAGCGGGACTTCGGCATTGAAATCGGCCGTTCTGAGCAAGCGCTGCGTTAGTTATCCAACCAGAAACGAGAATTTCTTTAATAAATAGTATTGCAAATTCCGCCATTTCAAAATCGGCGGAACACGGGACAGAATCGCGCGAGTAAAGAACGAAACTGCGTGGAAATTAGCTAATCGTCAATTTCCGTTGTTTCGTAAGACAAGTAGACTGCTGCAAAATTGCGTAAAATGCATAAAATAAGTAATGAAAGCACTGAAAATTTTTTCGAAATAAGTAATGATCTAATTGCGATTTTAGTTAATTAGTTAGTCTAATTTTTAGGACATTTTTTGTCCCGCCGGGCGGGATAGCGGGACCGCTAGCTACGCCACTGGTAGTGAGCCAGACCAAGGCGTAAGCCGAAGTGATGATGAGTCGAACAATTTGTACTCAAACTTCGAGCGATATTTCTTCCAGTCAGTGAAAGGTTAGGCATTATTAATCACCCCCCCCCCCCTTCCCCCTCCACCAAATACTTTGGACCCGTCCATCCAGGGGGTAGTATGATCCCGAATAGTCGAAAAGTCAAACCTCAGTTCGCAGAACGTCAACGCGGTGTTCGAATTCAAATATGGACGGTATGTCACTGTCAGCCAATGAACTTGTGGTAGCATTTTCTCGCCAATATCGAAAGAAGGGTGGATTTCGAAGCTCTAAGAGAAAATTAATAGAGAACATTTTTTATGGTGCTGCTATGAACGCGTGAGTCAATTAGGAGTTCTTGCATAGGTAGTGATCTCGTAAATTTTGTCCTACCTTGTCTGCATGGATTGTTAAAAAGTTCTTGGACTGATATTCGCAATGGTAGATCAATGACCTAGATAATTATAATTATGTTACAAAACTGACCTTATTAACGAGTGACTGTAGATTAAATTGAATAAAGTGTCTTTGTTAGAATTTATATACATCAAGTGTATTGTATTCATGTTTTGACTACAAAAAGCACTTGGGTCATTCGTGCTCTCAATATTTAAGACATTCATGTACATTCACCTGATCTCTTAGAGTGTCCCTAACATTCATTTTATTCCTTTTCAATTTTGCATCGCTGAGTGTTGGGATTTTATCAAGCGGCTGTCCTCTTTTTCTTCGTTGTCGGTCCAAGATGGGGGCGCCTAGCTGGGTGATTGGTGTGACCAGATCTTCAGGGAAAGGTCTCTTTAAAATAGTATAAATCAATTGTATATGCATGACTTTTTCACGCATGCCTGTCAATAGCTGCTGATATGTCTCGTGCCTATGATGGATAAGTCGATCTCGTGCCTATGAGATAGATATTTAATAAAGTCTAATCTTAATTTTAACACATACTTCCTCTCCTGTTTCGCTTTCCCTATCTGTCAAGAAAAATTTAGTGAAAAATCAGCAATATAGGACTGGTATAGCTCACGTGAGTCATGCATGGCTGTGCAAGCCAGCATTCAACAGCCAATAGGCAACATTTCAATATTTATTGCTATAAGTTAAATATCTGGGATATTATCGGTTAAAAATTTGCTCAATTCGACGTGAACTATAGCGTAATCCAAGTGCGCGTCAAGACCTAAGAATTGTCAGTGTTTATTAACAGAGTGGCTCCGGCAGGCATTGGATACCTAAGGAAAAAGATAAAATGCTGTTCGAGAATTATAGTTAAACTCACCAGCAGATGTAAGAAGTCCGGTGGATTCATCGACAATCTGAACAACATGTTGAGAAGGTGATGTTAGGCCAACCTCTGCGGCTAGAGATGTCGGGCCAACTTCACCATCAGGCAGGCGGAAATCCGCGTCTCTAGATAAAGGAACAATATATCTCAATATTTAAATATGGTGCGTGCCACTTTGGCACTTTGAGTTTTTATTATACTGTTTACAATACTATCCTTCTGAGATGCAAAAGGAACGTTAGAACAGACCAATATAAAAATATAAAACATTACTGGTCTTCTTGGTCTTCACCGTCTGGAGGATAGGCTATTAAATCGTCATCGGGAACCTAAATGATAATACTTACTCTCAAGCATTTCAACCTCAGATAATTGAATCCCCCCATAAAATGTACTTTATAATGATTGTCATCCTCCCCCTCCCCGCCTTTCCCAAAGCTGGTTTCCAAATCCAAACACGTTTGCGAACAAAATGTCTATTTGGGACAAAACATTGAAAAGGGAATAAGTTGGCAACCGTCCCAACACGTTTGAAAATAATTGTAGTTACAGCCCGGCCTACACTTTAATAAAAGTATTGGGAGATCAGTAAGCGTTGGAAACTACGGTATTCGTATTTTACCACAACTTGACTTAGGTGATCATCAGTCTCAATCATGGTTATTTTATCTCTCTCGGCTTGATGTGGTCCTGGCGGCACTTGCACCGGTGAGATAACGGGGGAAGACGGATGCTCAATATAAATAAACTCCTCTAGATCATCCTTAAAGAAAATATGAAAATACTGCATTTGAAGATGGTTCTACAAGTGTTTTAAACGTCTTATGAGTTTTCCCAATATAAACATACCGAAGGGAAAATCTCCGATGGAGATTTTAAGAATATATCTTCAAGAAAATCAAACGGATCAAACATTTGCGCACCCACTGGATCTGGTAATGTGCAAGCTTCTAGGCTGAAATGTTTCAAAAGATATTAGCTTACGAAGCAAAAGAAATTACTGCTTTTGTTGACTATAGGAAAAGATTTATATTAAAGTATTTTAATTCTACCTCAACGCAGGCGTACGGAGGTCAATCAGCCTCAGATCTACATCGAATGTCGCTCTTAAGTCTCTCCACGCATGTTTCATGTCATCTTTAAAATCGTGAAGTATGTAATTAATTGTTACACATTAATAGAATAATCTGCATCAGCAACAACAAACAGTTCGTATACAATTAAATACATGAAGACAATGAACCGCGTAAACATGCCGAATGTATACAAACAAGTTGACTGAAAAGTTATAAACCAGAAAAAGGTCATAGGAAACCTGTTTCGGACAGCCATTGCTATCCCCAAGACACTAACTGATGAAATCATCACCCATATACAACAGCGCCATATTGGATGAATGATTTTTTCGGGGACTGATCATGATTCTGATTTACCTATCTGATTTATCCTGATCACATTATCGACAATTGATTCACTAGAAGAGATGTCTCCCCTGACTGGCTGACTCCGTATAAGCTTACACTTCTATAGAGACTTACCACAGAAGTATGTCACTTGTTCCTTATAAACTCTCAAAATTCCAATCATCAAGTTTGATTGAAGACGTAGCGAGAATCGAACTTTTGTTTGCATGACATCCATGCTAAGTGAGAAATTTTATTATTAATTGAAGAAACTCTACTACTAGATTGTGACAGATAACATCTATTAGGATTATGACTCCTACCAGGCTTTACTTATATCAACTGCTATGATATCTCTTCGACTCAGCATCTTTTTTACGTTCCTGCCATAAGATGCCGCCAGCCTAAGGCATCAAGGTAAATTTTAAATGTAGTCCATAACGCTAGTAAAGTCAAAATATTACAGTGAAGTCCAAGTTAAATGAAAAACATCCGTTACAGTGAAGTCGAAGTCTTCATTTGCAAGTTTCACAACCCAGGTTTAAAGAAACTGGGATACTGACTGATAAGGTCCCTCGTCTAGTTTGTACTTATTTGATCTGGGAAAGGATCGCGGCGTTTTGTGCAAGAAATCCGAAAAACTGGCTTTACAAACAGTTCAGGACAAAGGCCTTTGCTCGGAACGTCTGCTCAATCATTTTCGATTAATTGAAGCTTTATATTATTGTCATTTATATAGCATTTCAGAATTGTTTATACTTTCAATCTCCAGCAATTGCCGAGCATGCGCACTAAAAAAGCGGTACACTAGCACTAGCTCTGGTTCTAGCTCTGTAGATGAATTATACATAATATAAATGAAATTTCATTATGAAATAGATGAAATTTGCAATTTGTCAACATAGCATAATAATATATGATTACATTACACTAAAATGTGGTTATATAATCATGCATTGCATTACTCATTTGTCATCATTAAGTGACTTGAGTTCTGAACAGTTAAGTTACATTCAATAGTTATATCTGTTCGTGTGTACAGCAATGTTTACAAGCCGGTCATGCCAGGAATTGTTTGTCGTACGGTACATACCAGAAAACCAAAACACACTGGACAAGAAACTTGTACGCCGAAGAAAAACGTACGTGGCTCTACTCAATTTTTTACTTTTAGCTAATTTATTTAGCTATAGGGTTACTATACTTGCCAGATAGCTCCAAACTTGCCGTCGTTTTTCTGAAGAATGCCAGTACAAAAAAACATGCTTTAAGCGAGTAGCCAGCAGTAGCTCTTGTGTTGTTAAAATAAAATTCAAACGAATATCAGTGATCCGGCAATGTTCAAGCTGAAAAATACAAAACATGTTGGATTTTATATGAATAATAAACGTGCCTACATGAAGATCTAAACAAAACAACAGAAACAAACACAAAATTCGAAGAGAACTCACCCTTTTCGATGCATCAAATAAAATAGAACGTATTTTTACACTGGAATGTTTTTTTAACCAATGATAGCACAGAAACGTCAAAATGGCGCGAAAATCATCGTTACGCTTTTTTGGAACAGGCAGTGGGGACCTGGTGGGGACAGGTGACTTCTTAAGGCGAGGGGGAAAACCATAAGACAGTATGTAACGATATCATGTCAACTAGAGTCAAATTCGTGAAAAATACAATTATATTGTTATGTTATGGATTTCATGATTTGCGGTTAGCAAAGGGTGGCGGTTTGGGACTGGCATGGGTTCAGAGGGAAAATATTTCGTTCGCGTAACATGACGCTGAGTACGGAAATCCCAGGGAGTCTATACAGGAGCTGCAAGTAAATTTCTATGATACGCACAATACTTTTGATCATTTTTTTCCCTTTCCAAACGAGGAAAAGTGTACAAAGGATGCACATTCCTGATGCCCAATGCAATATTGAGTGCTGCTTAAATTCCCATCTACCGTGCACAAATTCTGTATTCATGCATGCGCGATGATAATAGTATTGAGTGAATCTCTGTAATGCGCACAAATCTGGCACAGATAATTTCTCTGCATTTCCAAATGCGCAAGTTTATGATCCACACAGGCCTATTGTGACACTCCACAGGTTGGGGAAGACTTTCTGTGGTAAGATCAATACCAACAAAAGGATACTTTTTTTTTGAAACTTGGAAATAAACAGGGACGCCGGAACAGGGACGCCTTTTACCAGCAGGAGCAAGGTGGGCAGAAGGAAGATGTCTTTTCAATTTAAAATACTTCATTGCAATCGTTAAAAATGCAGCCAACTAGCCCCACAGGAAAAAAACACACAGTGAGACGAAGCGAAACTGCCGATGTCTAGTGCGTGTCGAAATAAATGTATCCTTTCATGAATTAAACGTTCGCCCCTCATCCAACACTATATACTTCATTTCTGACAAATCAGCAGACTGTCTGCCATCAAAGTTCGGCAATAGCCAGTAGTTAATAGAAATCAGACATGCTGTTTTGCGGCCCTATGCCCCACTGGTGGCCACAAGGACTGAAGAAGAAGACATGCTGTTTAGTGTATGTCTTTCTGTTAAGTTTTGGGATTTTGGCCTGCATAAAAGATAAAACTCACTCACGTGGGTACCAGAATATGACATGACAAATGTTATTAATTGTTGACCTTGAGTGTCGTATAACAAGTTGTAATGACTAATGTGGTATCATGTGATGTTTGCGAACTGGTGCAAAAGGTGCAATACTTGGAGAAACAATGTTCTCGAGTAAATATTTTTTCATTTTAGCAATTTTATTGCCAGAAATTATTGCAATCCCGTTCTCAAAGGATGAACGAGTGTTCTTAGAGGTGGACCACGATATCGAGCAGTGGCAATCCGCAGGCTGGAAATTAACCCATCGAGTTTTCAATGAAAGAGTGCGTCTCGCATTTGCTATTAAACATCAAAATATTGCGAAATTGGAGGAAATTTTCTGGAGCGTTTCTGATCCGAAATCTGAAGAGTATGGACGTCATCTAAATATAAAAGAAATTAATAATTTGGTGAAGCCAACGGACGAGTCAATGAATGTGGTAAAGTCGTGGTTGCAAGAAGGCGGCGTTGATAGCAAACATTGTAACGAGACTATGAATTCAGACTATATCATCTGCGAAATATCATCAGTGATTGCTGAAATCTTATTGAATGGGGCCAGGTTATATCGTTTTCATCACAAAACAACGTCAAAATCGGTGATACGTTCTATTACGCATTATAGTGTTCCGAGAGAAGTCGCAAAGCATTTAGACTTTGTTGGTGGCTTATTACGTTTTCCTGCCTTAAATACTCTTAAATCAAGCAAACGCTCTGGCGCAGATTTTGTTCATGTTGGAGTATATCCAGCTGTATTGCGGTCAAGATACAATGTGTCGAATACAGTAGGTATGTATCCTAACAATAGCCAAGCTGTTGCGCAATTTCTTGAGCAACACTACAACCCCAATGACTTAAAGGAATTTTTTGCCATATTTGGGCGTGGATTTAAGCATCATTCTGACGTCACTAAAGTTGTTGGTCCGAATAGCGGACGGTCTGGTATCGAAGCTAGTCTTGATGTGCAATACATCATGAGCCTGGGTGCGAACATTCCTACGTGGTTCTGGAGTACAGCAGGAAGACATGAAAGTCAGGAACCGTTTTTGGAATGGATTATCGCGATAGGGAATATGAGCGAGGTGCCGAATGTTTTCAGTGTTAGTTACGGCGATAACGAAGATTCATTGTCAGTTGATTACATGAACCGTATCAATGTTGAATTTATGAAAGCTGGAGTACGAGGCATCACTATCTTGTTTGCAAGTGGAGACAATGGAGCTGGATGCCACAAAAACAAATTCCGTCCAAACTTTCCTTGTTCGAGTCCTTATGTAACCGCTGTTGGAGGGACCGCGTTCAATAACCCATTTGGTATCGATGGTGAATATGGTTATGAGATTAGTGGAGGTGGATTTAGCAATGTCTTCAAACGACCAAGTTATCAAGAATCTGCTGTAAACTATTACCTACAAAATTCTGGAAAATTACCTAATGCTTCATTATACAGCAAGACAGGACGTGGCTACCCAGATATATCCGCAGTTTGCAATCATTTTTGGATTGTTAATAACCTTGTCCCAGTACCAGGTGTAATGGGCACTTCCGCATCTACCCCAACAGTCGCTGGAATTATTTCTCTCGTGAATGATATGCGCTTGCAAAATAACAAATCTCCAATGGGATTTATAAATCCGTTTCTCTATTCTAACATGAAATCCCTATATGATCCAACAAGTGGGTATAATGAAGGTTGTGGTGAGCCTGATCGCGGGTTTTATGCCTTCGTTGGTTGGGATCCGGTGACTGGATGTGGAACACCGAACTACCCAGCTCTGGTTGAAGCAGCGTTAAAATTAGGAGGCAACTCGCCCCATGGCCATGATCACCGCTTATTAACGATCTGAACAATTGCAAGCATAGACTATCTAATCCAGTTCATGATAATTTTAGGGTAAGAATAACAACATAACGGGTCGGGTGATTTTTGTAGTTCATTGAGAAAAATAAAATTTGCTCACATCAACTTTGCTAATCTGTTTACATGAGGAACTGATTCGTTCCGTAGCAGTCTGTGCCAACACTCAATTGGCCTATTCGAAAAAGAGCAGGCCTGTTAGGAATTAGACGGAGACACGGCTATATAGTCAGATTAGCTCCTGCTGTATTAAAAATCATTTGCTTGTTTTCACTTTTCGCTGGAACAAATCTAATAAACCGAACAAAGCCAAAAACTTTAAAAAGTTATTTCATCAAAATTCGGAAACAAATTATTTTGAACTTATACAATAGAATCTTTGTTTGCCCTTGTTTTCTTTACTCTTTCGCTTTGCGCGAATTCACCTTGTGCTAAAACAGGCGTTGCGACTAGTTGAAATCAACGAATCAGATATGAACGCTTCGTCTTGTATTGTGTGTGGGGGAGGAACTAATCTATTAGTCTACCACTGGTGGCGAGTATGGTTCCGCGCCACGTAATCTTTTGATCATTTAGGCTTAATCGTAGTTATCGTACCCAATGAAAACTGGCCCGTGGTTCTTAAATACGGTTCGTAAGCTATAAAGTATATCGCCGGATACGGTACTCTCTCTTCGTGAAATTTCAGCCAACTTTACGTCTACGACCAAGTTTAATGACAATGTCAATGTAAATGATTCCGTTAACATTTTAGAAACGATTCCTTGTATATAAGAACTAGACAAAGTGCCAACTTGTTTTCATATAATTTGCCAATAATATAAATAACATATTATATATAAAAATTCCCTTTTTACTGACGTCAATGAGGGATAGGGCAGTGGTTTGACAGGGTTTCCATGACTATCATTAGCTACATGCTATATCAGTTTATGTACTGTAAGAATATACAAAAAGGCCACCCTCCAGCCAACAATTTAATAAAATATACGAAAAACACTTACTAAGAAACATATTATGCCGGTTTTTGGTTTTCTCTTGTAAGTTAAAAGAGAAAACTTAAAGTTGTAAGAAAAATAAAATCTCAAAGAATCTTGTCAAGATCACTTGTACTACTTGAACCTTTACTTTCAATGTTTAAAGGAGGAGGATCTGTTTCAAGATTTCCATCGAGATTGCAATTTAAAGCCGGAAGCAAAACGTTTTTCTCTGTTGAGTGATCCGGAATGTTTGTCATTTCGATGTTCTGTTCTGGTTGCTCGCAATTTTCGACGTGATAAATATCTGTTGGACGACTGTCAGTCGGTGCTTTTGAAAGAAAATGAACCGGACACAATAAAAGAAAGGAAAGAACCATGGTTCCGCCAGCAACAAAAAAGACTTTTTCATATCCGTTGGTTTCTCTATACAACCACCCTAAAAATTTAAATAGGCTCACTCTCAATGTTTTCACATCAAATGTGGTTTTGTTAAGCAGATGTTTCGATGTCATTGTCAGCTAGTAAAAGCCACTACTGTCCACAGAAAATCTCCTGACAAAGCCAACTGAAGGCTTAGATCAAAATGTTCTAAGGCATTTTCTTGTAATATTTTAGGTAACTGCATTTTATAAGAAGACCAGAAGAGGTTTGAAACGAGACATATTAACTATTTCAGCACAAATATGTTCTAATCTCATTGTTGCAATATAACTTATTTTTTCAGCAAATTGCCAAATTGAAGAAAAAATACTGTATCTCTACGAAAAAAATTCAGCAAGAAATGAACTGTGAACACAAAATTCAAAGTACATACCAGCAAAAGATGCACCAGCTGTCAATGGTCCTGCAAATGCAAAGAATAACAAACCAAGAGCTGGAGATATTCTTTGTCTGCCAACAATATAGGCAACCAATGTTGGAGCAGTTCCTACTATGCATCCTTCACATATACCAAATATTACCATATACACAGCAAAGCCTGCATAGCTTGAAGAAACAAACGGACAAGCTATCGTAGATAATGCCATTATACCAAGACAAATTTGAAACATCAGAAGTTTATTCACTTTTGGGTGATCAGCTAATTTTCCAAATACTAATCGGGCAACAACTGATGGCACTGACATAAAACTGATCAGCCATGCTGCATCTAGTTTAGAAATTCCACTGTTCGTTGCATATTTTTGCTGAAAAATATATAGAAGTAATATTTCATAAGAAAAAAGCTACTGATGCACCAACTCACACTAAAAGGTTATTATGGTATTATTAAGGCATAAAGGCATAGGAAAGGCATAGAAAAAATGAAAAAAAATATTTCCATTAATGGATAACTATTGATCGATTGTCTGCATCGAATCATTGTGTTATGTTCTTAAGATCATTATAAGCTAGTGGTCAGATAATGCATGTTAGCAGTTTTGTTGAACGTTTAGTTGAAATAAACCAGAAAATTGATAAAATATTGAGCAATATAATATACACTTATACTGATATACTTATATCAGATAGTACCCCCAATTAGGGGTCAGTGCTTCCCACTGTTAAATGGTATGATATTAGAGTAAACACCAATGAAAGGCACATCAGGATGCAATAAAAACTTAATTAGTTAATTAGGTGCATATAGTTGATAGGCAGCTTAACCCATTCAGTGCCAGTGTGTATTAATTAATTATCCAGCACAATACACATGACAGATACTAAAAACGTAGGGTGCACATCAGGCTGCAATAAAACCTTTTGGGTTAATATCTTACCACATGAATTATTGGAACATAATACCCAAAATTAAAAATAGTCAGTGCTATAGTCAGCATAGAAAATGCTGGAATACACCACAGTGAACAATCGAATAATTGTCTCCATGACTTCTTTGTTGAAGTATTCTCCTGTGAAACAATGGGTTCTCTGTAGGTTAGAGCTGCCATGATTAGACATGATGCTAATATTGCTAAACCACGCAGGGTCATTTTCCATCCAAATGCTTCTAACATACGTTCAATTGAAGGTGACATTGCTAGCCCTCCAACACCACTTCCTGCTGTGACAAAACCCATAGCAAATGCTAAATGTTTATGGAACAATTTTCCAACTATAACAAATGTTGAAGCATAACACAAACTAGAACCAGTTCCCCATACCACAGAATATGACAAAAACATGCTATAATCCGTTGTAACAAAGGAAGCCGCCAGTAATCCAACAATAGATATTATTCCTCCAAGGATAGTCACTATCTGTGGATTATATGATTCACATAACTGAGTTGCTATAGGGCTGATCAGGAAATTTAAACCAATTGCAGAGGAACCAATAAATGCTAAAACATATATAAGATAGATTATTTGTAACTTGATTACAAATACCATACTATTTGCAACTACATGCATTCCTTCTATATATCAATGCAAGAATAATAACCCAATGTTATTTGTACCCAAAACATATTGTACCTGCAAGGTGATTAACCTGCATAAATATAAAATGTATCCGGATAGTCTATAATAGTATAAGTTGATTTGTTGAAAAAGCAGCCTGAACTGTATTAGTTTTCCAGGCAGCTTTAAAGCAGCAGCTGTAAAGCAGTTTTACTGGTGCAACCTATATATACACTCAAACAGTGGCATAGCCAGCCTGATGATTTTGTCCTGCTATGTAAATTTCGAGTTATTATAATTATTCATTTCTTTATAGAAACTTATTGTTTTCACAGTCAATGAAAACCAAAATATTAGCATAGCGGGACAAATCGTCAGGCTGGCTATGCTACTGCACTCAAATACTTGTCACTCTCTCTTGTACGGAATTGCATTGGGCTACAATGAAAATTATTGAAGAGATAGATTTGTCAATAGAAGTGTTGACAGCCACCATAGTGGGTGCTAGCTAACATGTCATCAAAAAGTTATTATATTTTTTGATAATGATGACATAATATAATTGACAGTATTGAAACTTATTCTTATGTAAAAATGAACCTTTTTGAGTATATACTATCTTTCCCAATTTTCTGGTATATAATGGGCAATTATAAAAATCATTAATACTTCACACATTGACCAATTTAATAAACTATACCGCTTTACTATAGAGCTAGGACGGGTTTTATACGGCTTCGGTTGAGTCAGACTGCCGCTTTCTCGCCAAATCCTCTTTTCATGTGGCAAAGACAAATTCGTCGTACGATTATCTACAACCCATTGTCTTTACTCACGTCTCAAGGAAGATTTTCTTTCAACAATACCATATAAACGATAATGAAAAAACTCAGTAGGCCTATATATTTGTGTCATCAAATTGAGAGCTTGTATTAAACTTTCGTTTTTGCAGCCAAAAAAAGCCCCGCAATTCTAGGGACTTGTTCAAGCAAAAATGAAGGGTCTTTTGTAATTTTATAATAGTCAATAAAATGAATTAGGATAGATCGTATCATAGACAAAAATATGACATGGTCGTAAACGTCGTATTGTCTTTATGCGATTGAAGGGCTCAAAGCACATTGCTGTAATTCAAATCTGAAAAGTCCTACATTTTTTTAACTTATGTAATGTAACACGTACCTTAATTTTTTTAATTTTCATACAAAACACAATTGACTCAATTTATAGCCCTCAAATTAATACACGTGTACAAGTATAAAATAGGCATTTGGGCCTTTGCTGCTTATGCGCATTAACTAGAAAGACTTGTTTTGCTATAAATTTAGTTTTAAGGATTTATTTAAACATCAGGTTGACATTAATTTATAAACATTTACCGCAATACCTGAAGTGCTTTCATCCCACTCAAATTCTTTGAGGATTTGTAGATACATGTTTCCAAATGAATTGTGGATTCCCATAACAATAAACTGTACTATAGCAGCAGAAATCAACGAAACACAAGCCCAACATCCGTCTTGAACAATACGAGTTTGTCCACAAAACAAACTAAAGTTATTTCTTTTGTCCATGTTGTTTCCTTTGAAGCGTCTTGTAAAGTGTACTTCGTTCTGGATCATTGGCTCGCGACAAAGAATCGAATTGCGATATTGTTCGTTTGTTGACGTTTCCCGCTGTCTCTCCATACAGTATATCTTAGTAATACATATTTCTTCCTCCGAGTGATGTTATAAATATAAACTAACGGAATATTTTACATGTTTAAATACATATCTTGCATCCTGCGATTAATGTCTCGTTCTGCAGTAATCCCTTCTCTCTCACCGCGAAGTATGGCCTGTTTCCTTTTGCTACGAAAAATTATTTTCGTGCGAATAAATAACGTGGACGTGACATAGAGCGCAGCACGAGAAGTCTCACATCTTGTTAAAATTGTTTTGTTCATGCTGGTTTTACAGGAACGTCTCAATAGCAACAGATCTCTGCACAATGAAACATCGCGTGAGGTTCGCGTGGGTGCTTGTCATCGAAAAACATCACACCTCCTGGTTACCGGTAAAACGCGAACATGGAAAATGCTAGGAAAATGCGGACATGGTAAACGTTTATAAAAATGGTAAACGGTAAAATGTTTACAATTGCATACTTGCATTGCATTATTTTAACACCTATAAAACGTAGCTCCAAAAGTTTTAATTTTGTTGATTAAATGAACGATTTACAAACGTTATATCTAATTGAGACTAGCCAGAGGAAACGAATAAGAGCGTCATTGATTTACTCCCTAAATTCAGGAGAGGTAAAATTAGAATAGGTCGTGTTGAATGCAAGAATATGTCATTTTTTCGTCGGAAAGACATAATTGATTTCAAACGTCAAAAGCTTCATGTTTGAAATATTCCCCTTGAAGTGCTGATGGGACAGGTGTGATGCTTCAATGACTCTAATTGGCTAGAAGAATTGTGCCATTATACAGCTCATGAAACCCTAACCATAAGTTCATAACTATCTTATTTTATATTTTTGATACTGTCAACTATGACAACTATCAATCAAGGAATGCATTTGTATAATTTGATAATTAGGTTCACCCGGATTTCTTAGCCGCCTATGATAATGAAATGGTGCAACAATTACTGAATAATTGCTGAATAACTTCTCATGTACCACTGTGAACTGCCACAACTGTCACTGATTACAGATCAAGAAGAAGGGTATAGCAATATAATCACGTGCCGTATGCCCGCATCACTATATCACTTCTTCCGGTTAGGTTGCGCGAAGGTGGAAGAGTATTATGGTTTGAAGTTTCATTTTTGAGATATAAGTATGGATGGCAAATCTATTTTACTTCTTACTTTTTTTACGAGTTTTAGCAATATCTGTGTTACATCTGAGAAAAACATCTATATCTTCAATTCAACTCTTAACCATAACACCTTGGACTGTTTCAAAAATTCAAGTGTTTATTGCAGGGATTTGGACTATGTTCTCGGAATAATTTCCAACACATCGGAACACAAATATCGAAGATCGATAAAAATTCACGTGCTCGGAGAACAATTACTGCAGAAAAATCATAACCTTACAGATTTACACAACTTTGTATTGAGTGGGTATGCAGATTCTGTAATCAGATGTACGTCACGTAAAGGGTTGATAATTTTATCAAGTGAAGATATCGGGATTGCAAACTTGACATTCTTAAACTGTGGCTCAAAACAAGCGTCTCAAAATAAGAATACCATATTTTTTTTGGCTGGGTTATTCTTTTCAAATATCACCGATATAACTGTAACTGGTTGCATGATTACAAACAGTACTGGTATTGGCATGGCACTATTAAATGTTGGTGGTCATGTGAATTTCATCCATACACATTTTACTGGAAATAAAAACAACTCAATGAATGGTAGTAAGATTCATCATGGGCTTGCATATGTTGGAGGTGGACTAATAGTTGAATTTAACAGTACAAATGCTCAGCATTCAAGTAATAACAAATATTATTTGTATAATTGTACTTTTATCAACAATGGTTGCACATGGAATGCAAAAAATGTAACAGATCCAACAGAGGCTGATAATAAACATGTTATCTTTGGATGTGGTGGTGGTATGGCTATGGCATTTAAAGGAAAATCTAAAAATAACACTGTTCATATGGAAAAGTGTAAATTTCTAAACAATTTAGCAGACTGGGGTGGTGGATATTATTTCCTATTTGAAGATAAAGCTAATAGCAATTTTGTTTTGATGAAGCATGTGACAATAAAGTTCAACCATGGTGTCTTGTCTGGAGGTGGTGGTAGATTTTTCTTTAATCCATGTTTCAATCTGACAGAAATGACATATTTGCAACCAAACTATTTCATGCAAGAAAACTGCTATTATTTTAATAATTATGCAGGTTGGGGTGGTGGAGTATCTGTATTTGGATCCAGCCTATCTAGCACAACTTTATCTTTCATTGACAGTCATTGGGTTCAAAACAAAGCTCTAGTTGGAACTGCATTGGGATTTTTGTCAGGCTTGAATACACAGCAAGGATGGCTGAACAAGCAATTATCTTGTGGTGGGATGCCATACAAAGTTGAACTTCTAAATTGTGAGTTTAAATGCAATAGCATCACAGACAAAGGAAGTTCTGAAAACTTTATTGTTGGCACTGGAACAATTTATGTTGAAGAAGCAGCGATTAACATGGAAAATGTGTCTTTGTCTTTTAACAAGGGGACTCCTTTAGTACTAGACTTGAGTGATGTTTCTATTTCTGGCAATGTCAGTTTCCATAACAACAGTGGTTATGAAGGAGGGGCAATAGCCCTCTATGGAAGATCAAAAATCATTCTTAAAAAGGATTCAACCCTTAACTTTACGTCAAATTCAGCTTTTTTGAGAGGGGGTGCAATCTATGCATATTCCCAGGGACCAAATCTTAAGGCATTTCATGCCAACCTGCTCGACAGATCTACCTGCTTTTTCACTTATGAACTTAACAAGCCTCCAAATGACTGGTCTGCAACAGTCATATTTGAGGACAACATGGCACCAGACAAATCGGGTAAATCAATATATTGTGATACCTTGCAGTTTTGTAGAGTTTATGGAAGCATATCTAAAGCTTTGGAATGGAAACCTTTTATTTATGTCAATAGCAAAGTTGGTGAACCAGAAATAGTTACAGATCCTGTTGAGATTTATACTTTCAATTACAATTGGGTTGGATTTCCAGGACAAAAGCTTACCCCAAAAGTGACATTGAAGGATGAAAAAGGTCAACCAACAAATGGACTGCTAAAAATGTCATTGTCTAATTCAGAAACAGGTGTAAATCTGGGGGAACAGGTTTCTGAATACATCTATATTTCTGATGATAAAAGTTCGGTTCCAATCAACTTTGTCAGCAACAATTTGAAAGAAGAATTTAATTTGACGCTAAGTTCGGTTTACACACAAATCATTAAAACCACTGTTTGATAAATACAACTTCTTGCTATGGTGGCTATGATTTCACTTTAAAAACGAAATGTGTCTGTCTTTCCCAAGATGAATGCCATATGGATATTTAGATGTGGTGAAGATGGAAAAACAGTATATGTAAAAGAAGGGTATTGGGCAACAATTGGCAAACACCCCCAATTTATAGTTTTGCCATGTCCTCTAGGTTACTGCAAATGTGATCATAAAACAGCAAAATCTGATGAATGTATCTTCACTAAATTCCATAAGAATACTAGCCAGTGTGAACATTATAGGCATGGAAGGTTATGTGGCTCATGTGACGAAGGATATAGTCTGGTAGTGGGTTTGAATGAGTGTAGAAAGTGCCCTAGTAATATAGGTCTTTTATGGCTGCTTCTTCTTCTTGTAGTTGTGACTGTGGTTGTTTTGGCACTTATTTACTTTCAGATTGATTTCTTCTCTGGTCCTCTAAATTCATGGCTTTATACCTATCATATCGTGTATTTTTTGCCTTATAAAAATAAGTATCTTGACCCATTTATTACACTTGTGATTAGTATAACTTATGGTCAATTTGACCTGAGCACAGGTAAATGTCTTTGGAAAGGAATGGATGCACTTCAAAAGCGTACTTTTCAAGTTATTGTGCCTTTTTACGCTGTTTCCTTACTCTATTTCATTACTAAACTTCTGCGTTATTTTCCTAATCTTCCTTTAGCTGACCATTCTTTTCACCATGCCCTGGTAACCATTGTAATTGTCTTATACGCCTTTTTGATAGAAACTACTGCATCCGTTCTTATGCCTGTGAAGGTTGATGGCGTTTGGTATGTCTTTCAGGAGGCTGATGTAGAGTTTTTAAGTAGATCTCATTTACCTTACGCCATACCTGCTTTCTTTATCCTTGCAGTTATTGTTATACCATTTCCCTTTGTTATTGCGTTTAGCTCTTACTTTACAAGAAGGTTTCAATGTTTACGTAACTTCATACCTATGTTCGAAGCTCTTCAGAATCCATACCGTCCGAGCCGTACTTGGTTCGCTTCTTATTACATCTTCTGTCGTTTGATCATTATCTCATTGCTAACTTTCAGACCCAATTTCGAACACACACTTTTTCCATTTTTGGAGGCTGTTTGCGTCATATTTCTTTTGGTATTTGTTCTTCTTCGTCCTTATAATGAAGACAATTCTGTTTATTTTTATGTTGATACATGTTTCTTATCTCTTCTCTGTCTGATCATCTGCGGAATGAATGCCGTGGAAGGTAACGAGGACAGAGTAACCATACGTTTCTTGTGCGTCTTGGTAAGCATTCTGATATACATTCCTTTCGGTTATTCGCTGGTATTATTCATACGGTATGCATATATAAAGTTTACAGTTTATAATCAGGGACGTCGGGAAAGACAACAACAGCCTTTGTTGCAACAAAGTTATCACTAGACCTATCCATTATTACGTCTTTCTCTGGTGGCCTCGTTCCCACATTCTGGAAGGCTATAAGCACACATAACTTTTCTACGAAAACTTACAAAAAACCGAAGTCATTCCGCTTGGTCTTCTGCAAAATTTGAGCCTCGAGAAAATACTACACGCATAAAAACGAGGCAATTAGGGAAGCAATAAACGTAAAGGTTTGGGGCCGGTGGTATCAAGCCCGTTAACTTAAACGGTGGATAAGTCAAAATTAAATACCACTCTTAGAACTCTCTTGGATGAGTCAACTTGAATATTATGCACTGAAGATGTAGTTGTAAACAGTATCTTTGTATTAAGGTTAAAAACATTCAGTTTGCTTGTTGAATAAAACGATAGACTTACTTTCTATTTTGAACTTATCCACCGTTTAAGCTAAACGGGCTTGATACAACCGGCCCCTGTTTAGGCTGACACGGCTGACATCATCGTTTGCCGTCATGAAGCAACTCGTGACTGCAAATGCTTATCAATTTGGATTTAATCTGTTCCGTCGGCTATCCGGTACCGTGTGTGTGAACGGGGCCTTAGAGTCTTAATGGGGTTTAATCAAATACTAGTATTTTAATGATTTACAGTGGCGTAGCCAGCCTGACAATTTAGTCATGCTATGCTAATATTTTGGTTTTCATTGGCTGTGAAAACAATGAATTTCTAAAGAAATTGATAATTCTAATTTACTTGAAATTTGCATAGCATGACCAAATTGTCAGGCTGGCTACGCCACTGATGATTTAACGAAATAGATTACTGCTAATATAGATGTTGGGTAAAAAGTAATAATTTTTCACTGAAAAAGTCAAAAAGTGTCTTTTAATACTAAATAATTTATTTTAGCTTTCCTGTTAAACATTTTAATGATACAGAATAGATTATTATTAATATAGATGTTAGCTAAAAGATAAAGTAATTTTCAAAAAGTGTCTTTACTCTTTACTAAATATTTTAGCTTTCCTCAATGGTTTTGTCTTTTGGGGGTTTTTTGTACACCCTGTATATCGAAATTCATCGACGATGTTCAAAAATAACCGACATTGCGACAATGGATTGCAATTTTAAGGGTGCACATTTTTCAGAGATCCAAGAGTTACCACACAATTTTTTTATAACCACTTCAGGGACGCCGGCGTTTCGAACAAAGCAATTTAAGCCTCCAGGCAGGAATTGAACCTACGCCTCTGCGAATCCGGAACAGTGTTCAAAATAAGTCCTGAAAAAGAAACTTATATATATATATATGATTCCAATTGAAAGGAAAATATATCAGTTTTTCTATTGCTATCAATGCAATATCAGCGCAAACGGATACCTGCCAATACCAAGAAGAATAAAAGGCATTATAATATTGTTTCCATAACACCACAATATATATCAACAAGCGTGGTTACCAAGCTAGTATAGAAATATGGCGGCTCGATCACTCAGAATCTGACTAAGGAATCAAACCTCTATTTGACTTAACATTTATAAACTTTTTTCCAGTACGAAATTATACATTGTGTCTTTGGAACTGTCTTTAGGTTCTACAATGTCACACTCTCCATCCAAGTCAAGGATAAGGTATCCGTATGAATATAAAGTGACTGCATGTCTGAGACTCACCGAGTGTCAGTGTGTCACTGTTTGAATACATCGATTTGATCATATATACATATTACAAATTTATCGACTTGTATAGTCAGTATAGAGAATTCGTGTATCTACGCTACCTTTCGAAATCAGATAGTAATTGATGTTCAAATTCTTCGCCTTTTTAAACCTGTCATTGTCAAGATGTTTAAATGTATTCTTCAAGCTTCATGTATTAAAATGACATGTTTATATAATAGAAAGAAAATATATATTCTTACTCCTTTCTTTAGTGCTCTTGAAAAGCTAAAACAAAGTAATGCTGCCAAACTGGAGTTGGAGACTAAGAAAATGGAAGAGAGAATTCGCTCTCTGAAAGAAAAAATGGTGAAGGAAAAAGAAGAACGAGAGTAAAAAAATATTAAACTTTCATTAAACATAGAGTTTTAATACATATTTTAGTTGATAATTTTAGGTATTTTAACTTATGGTCTGAAAACAATTAGAAGGTCGTATAAATATTTTTCAAGTTAGCATCAATATTTTACATCTAGACGTCTTGGTGGCTCTCGTTGGACATCAGGACGAACTGGGCCATTGACTAAGACTACCAAAAAATCTCCAGGTTCAAAGAAGAACCACCTCAATGGAAATAAGGTTTGATGCAATGTTCCTAGGTGCAACCCCCCCTGCCATTTTATTTTTCTTTTCATTGCATGACCATTAAAAATATATCATCGATTAATAGATAGTGTTTGTTTAAAAAACTCGGATGTAAATTACATTAACTGCTAAGAAATGATGTACTGCATTATTTACTCTCACATATACAGTGCAACCCACAGCTAGTGCCCTTAGTAGCTATGCTATCGCCACCTCCTATTTTTACTGTGTTTTAATCTATTTCCAGGTTGCTAGGAAAATAAAAGTTTTAACTGATGAGCCAGTTGGTACGTATTCATTGAATGAACACCTCACATCATGTGTTTAACACTTTCAAGAGCAAAGGGGGCTTTTTCAGATTGTTTGAAAAACCTTGCAATAAAACAGGGCCGTACATAGTGGCATGAATATCTCTTATAAGCAACAAAGTACCGTACCAAATTTGGTCTTTGCACCCACACAATTTTGTATAATTCAGACCACTATATACAAAAAGCTCCAGCCGTAACTGTTGCCAAGGCTGCCGAAGTTAATCTTTGTGGTCAATGTGAAAATACTGCATCTTCATGGGTAAGACATTGTTGTTTTTCATTGACATTGTAATAATAACTTATCTAATATGCTAAAAGAAAGCATGCATAGATGTTATAACAAACAACTTGCAAAAAAACAAAGAGAAAAGTACTTATGCATAAGTACTTTTATATTTTTTTAGCTTTGTCATGAATGCTCTGAGAGATATTGTGATGCCTGTTTTAGTCAATTTCACTTAAAAGGTGCTTTAAGAAAACACACAAAGACAAAAATTCAGGTAAAAGTATTCTGAGATATAGAATATATATATCAAGTGTAAATTTCTAGTTATTAGAAATATCATGTGAATTACACAATATATAAGACCTGACCAGGAACAGTTGCAAAAAATAGGCAACTATATTATCCTCAGGCAGGAATGAAACCTGTGCCCTGCAATTCCTGTGCAGTGCTCTAACCATTGAGCTAGAGCCAGTTGCTGAGCTTAAACCACAAATTTTTAGACTGAAGTTTCTGGAAAAACTAAGTATCAACAAAAATCACCCTCAACATGGAGACAAGATAATTCAATTTTAAGGTGAGTTAGTTATGTTAAGCCACATTCTGATATGCATGTACATGCAGTAACTTATACAACATATATGTTATCTAATATTTTTTATTTTATTTAATCTTTCCTTTCAGATCACATGGTGCATCAACAGATTCACATCCCATGGTATGTTTCATGAGTAGCTATATGTATGCAGTGCCTGCAACATTGTATTCCTCAACATCAGTTTAGATTTAAGATCTGGAAGCACATAAAGTGTCTTCAAAACATGGAGTCTTAAAAATTCCTAGTGATCCTCAGTCATGCTAGTTGTTTCTATAGGCAGCTGATGAAGAACATATAGCAACTTCGTCTACTGAGGGTAATGATCACATGAATGGCTCATCATTATTGAATGGCAGTTATGACGAAGAAGAAAGTGCCAACTCGTTTGCTCAAGCTTTACAAGAATGGAGAGACCAAAATAAAGCATCTAAGACCAGTCCAAGAAATCCCCCTAACTGTACAGGTAAATTTCAAATTTCAATACTACATCCAACCTAGTCCAAGTGATGTTCATTGAACTTTGACATTTGCTATAAACTGGTTTGTTATAGATACATCTTGTGGAACCACGAACGAGTTGATAACTGACCAAAATGATAAGAAAGAGTTAACGATTAAGTTTAATTCATCAATTTCCTACGGTGATCGTTTGTTTTTGAAAAAAAATCGCGAAAACAACCTAGCCTCGCAAAAATTAGCAGAAACAGCAATTGAGAGTGAAAATAATAAGGAAAGAAAAAGTAAAAATAAAGAAATTGACAATGGACGATCAGATGTCTTACATGAAGAAAATAACGAACTAGCGAGTCCCTTCGATCTAGACTATAGAGAGATGATTCAAAATGCAACAACAACAGAACCTGACCGGGATTTCCCGATTTCCCAGGAAAACATGTCATCTCACTGTGCTGTGTCGGTTAAAGAAATTTTACCTCTTGAGTTGAGCATTAATCAGGACGATCAAGGAAGCACTTGTGTTGTAGAGGAATGTGAAAAAGCAGAATCTGGTGAAATTAGGCCAACATCCAGACATGGAGCAGTTACTATTCGCGAAATGTATACATCCGGAAGTTCCGAGGATTTACAGCAAGCAAACATTGCTTCAAACACTCACAATTACGTGTCACCATCGATAACAGCAAAACCCTTCTTTTTAAAACCATCTGGGAAGGCAAAGAAACAGCCAGTAAGGACTATGTCTGCTGGACGTAAAAAAACACCACGGAAGGACGAGCGACAACGTAGCATTCTTATGAACAAAGAGACGCAAAGTCCCAAAATGTCATCGATGAAAAATAAGCATCCTGGTAAGCAGTCCCCGGTACATCAAGTCATGAATGAAATATCACCGAGCATAATTGAGAATACGTCAAAGAAACAATCGCCATTGAAGAAAAATGATGTTCATCAACGTCCAAGACCGCCATCCAGAAATAATAGTAGCAACGAAACACGGGTTCCAACTCGGCAAGCATGGAAACCTAAACATTCCCATAAGGAGTTATCTTCATTTTTCCTTGCCGGTGTGGATAGAGAAAGTGAGGATATAGAACAATGTGAAGATGAACATAATGAAAGATCGTCTTCAACTCCAATTACAGATCTTGGCCGGGGTTCTTTGTTACAAACGTGGAATCCAGTCAAGAGTTTTACACAACTTACGACTCCCGATTCAATCGATTTATCATCAAGTGTGGAGAAGAGCATGTCAGTCCCTGATGAACATTATGCCACATCTGAACATTATGCCACATCTGCTTCTTCTGAAGAAAAACATCTTGATAGAGGTAATAATAATTTGACACGTCCTTTCTAAAGACGTTGAAGTAAATATTTTTATGTAATTCAGTGCAATTTCATCGCATATAGGCTCTACCAATTTAGACGATCTCCAATTGACTAGACCAAAATTCCAAGAATTAAAAGGTTTGCATCGAAGTGTAGGATCTAAAGACGATTATCGGAACATTGAAGAGGACGAATTACTGGAATTGAAAGCACTTGATGATTTTGGCACAGGGGACCAAGATGATGATGATCTTGCAACTTTAAATGATTTAGCCTGGGAACTAGCATCTTCAACAGGGAGACTTACACGATGTGAGGAAGATTTACCTTTGGATAGGTAAGTGATTATACCACACGGTTTATTCAGGGTTTGTGTTCACTGCGCATTCTCGTCAGCGGGAAAGGTCAGGGTGAATCAGGCCGCGGAAAAGAAACGAGAAAGTAACTAAATATTCGGAAAGTAACTAAACGCCTTTCGAACAACCGGTCCCAGATAAATTTTTTCCACAACATATAGTCAATTCTTACATGCAATATATTCACTTTCTTGTCTTCAATATAATTTGTAGTGATGACGACAGTATAGAAGATAAAGATGGCGGTTCGGGGCTTACCTCTCCTTGTACTTTGGAAAGATCTTTTCGGGAGAGCATCATGGACGACTTTGAAGAAATGGAGAGAAAAATTATGGAGCAAGATCTCTGATGGACCGTACACGTGAACTCGGTTTCCCAGATTCAATGCAGCGTGACATGATTTTGAGAAATTAAAGCAAGGCGTGAGTCTTTATATGAAACCAAACGAGCTCTTGCTATTATCTAGATTATTACACCAGGATCATGTTCTTTACTCATTTCAATACCTCAAAATCATTTCACGCTTCGTTGAATCCCGGCTAAGCGGGAGATGTGGCAGCCCCCTAGAGCTGTAGTGTACAAGAAATTACCTTGAAGAAGACTTGACATTGTCCGCTTATTAAAGTTATTGTTTATAAATCAAAATGATTGTATTTCAAAAATTTATAAAGCCTAATTTTGCGCATGTGTTTCGTTTAATGACATGTATATCCTCACGATAACTGAAGATTTTGTTTGTTGATGGCCAGCATGAACCATCAACCTTAACATTCTCTAGAATGTACGTTGTTGAAATTCTGCGCATTGTGAGATGTTTTACCCAGAACTCACAAAGCATGAAAGAGATTTAATACGTTGAAGTATCAATGTAAGCTTATTCAAAAACTATATTAAAGTAAACGAGCCTGGGTTTATTGAGGCATCTTGTCTAAGTATAAAAAGGCTAGTATTTGTAATTCAAACGAAATCGTTATTGTACTAATGTGCTGCTCGTTACACCATTTGGATCCCACTAGCGGTACAATATAAGGTTAAGAATAATTTGAATTACAAAGACTATAAAAAAATACTATAAAAATTATAGGAATCATATACATGGTTATAAATTCGAATACCTGAGTAGCATGCCAAGCCTTCTGCTGCATCGTTTCAGCAGCTGGTCAGCTCTATACGAATCTAGAAATCAAATGTTCCAACAGTTTATTTATCAAGCAAATTGAATAGGGATATTATTTTTCAGTCTTGAACCATAAACCATGCACTTTGCTAAGCGTACGGGGTAACGTCCGCCTATTGTAATTTGCCACTTCACCAGGTGTCCCGGCTTTATACCAAACTAAAATATTCGATGGACAATTGAACGTCCATATCCCCCATTGACATGCAAACTCGAAAACCTTTTGTTATTGTATTTTTATCACTGTCGTATTAGTTTTATTTCAGATCATTACTCCCCTATTCTTGCGGTACGTTTACAAAATAATTTTGATAGCATGTAAAGATTTAAATATAAACTGCGAGTATACCGCATTTCCGAATAAGATCGATTTGTTGAATATTACATAATCACATGAACTTGGGAGGCCCCAACCCTAATAACTTTGGTGAAACTTTACTCTGTTTCATCTATCGGGTTACTCTGTCTCATATATATAACATATTGTGTTTTTACATGTCGTTCGACTATCCGTGAAATTAGGGTACATCATAGCGTTGGCGAAATCGTCAAAGACTATAGTTTTCACCCTTATTTTGGAATCTAGCACTTTACACACTCGCTATTGCTTATGTGTGCGGTTTGTTGTGAGGGATTCAACTCGAACTCGAAGATCTGATTATCGTCCTCACATAAGTCAGTAAGTCACGTTCACAAGTCTCATCCCAGAAAATGGCAGACACCTTACGGTGTTCAGCTTACAGTAACAAAGACAAGGCTTGTTATACTTAGTTTACTTCTGAAACCTCGCCATTTCTATACAATACAAATACTAAGTTAAATACAACAAATAACTGGCAACCTTCTCATCTGCTTCCGTCTATATATAAAGATATAGTCAAAACAAAATCATTACACGTTACCAAGTATAGGCACTTACCCTGTGAGAACTGAGACATGTAAGCTTGAATGTTCGCTTGGAGCTTGTCAAGCCGGACTATACATTTCATGTAATGGATTTTCCATCTTTGTGGATTATAACATATTACAGTGTTGTAAAGCCATTTACTGATTCATATTGTAAACGAAGTTCCTCTCTTGTTATTATTCTTTAAAGGTTCGTTCAACAAAGTGACAAGTCGCTTAAACCTGTTGCAGGGACGAGGACGACCGCCCAAAAAAGTGAATAACACTCACAGCCTCGAACAGCGCTGGTATATCTCTAAATTAATCAGCCAAATATTATTAACACAACCATTGTTTTCTTTGACTTTGTTTACAACAGAGGAATTGAAGGCCGTTATTTATTCTTTAACCATGGATGCATGAACACAATGTACTTTTCCACTTAGCTGAGTCTGTTCATTATAAGAAAAGAAATTAAATAGGTAACGTGAACACCTTTTTGGCAAAGCAAACAAGAATACACCCTCATGATAAAAGTGCAGACAAATAAGTTATTAAATTTAATTGCTATAAAATTCTATTAGTGGAACATTCTAAGCATCCTAATTAGATAAATATTTGGTTAAATTAGGTAACCTTGCATAATAAAAAATCGTTTGCTCAAATAATCATGCAGGGCCGTACCCACGGGGGTATAGGGGGAAGAATTGCCAATGCCAAGTTCTATTCAATGACTTTGATATACTTTGATATGCCAGTCGCGAAATTATTTGAGCGCATTTGGACATATTCTCGGCAAACACCCCTCCCCCACCTGGAGAGCTATGGTACGACCCTGTGAATGACGATGCGATATAAAGAACAAATTAAATATTTAAACAATAATTGACAATAATATAGAACAATGAAGAACGGTTTATAGCACCACTAGACAAACATCTTGTGAAACCGTATCAAAATCTTAAACATCTGATAGCGTCCATCATAAATAGACTCAGATAACTGATTAAACTATACAATCGCAAATGTTTCGCTACATTTTAGTCTTACAAAATGGCTCCTCAATACACTCATTAGACATGCGATGAGCAGTAGCCAATACCCATGCAATAATAGTGCACTAAACTCCGGTATCTATTTACACTCTATACTTCTAAATAAATAGTAAAACTGTACAATTATTATATTAGTGTTTTAAATAAACAAAAGGGAACTTTTACGCAAATGATTCCATTTCTACTTTTCCCTTTTCTAATTGATGAATTTCATTTCCTCAACAGCATCACGAATTGCACGAGAACAAGAAGAACAGTAGAAGGTATCAACGCTTTGCCAGAACTGCACTCATTTGACTCCTAAATTCGAAAGCGAGATTCAAAAAATGACCCGATTAACACTATATAGAGAGAGGTTCATCTCATGTTGAACGGCCTTTTGACCATCGCTCCTAGCCACGTGTGCGTTTTGTTTATAGATACGCGTGTAGCGATAAGGCTTTGCATTCTCTTTTGTGTTTCCTTATTTTTGCCAGAAATACAAGTATAGTTGGCACAAACAGATTTGAATTTTTAATGCGGGAAATTGCTACAGAGTTCAATGAATTCTTGGAAGGGTGACCCATGCGCTGGGCATGCGTGTGTCTGGGCGGCCATAATTGGAATTCCTATTTTGTTCCACCAGTTGTTTGCCAAATATACCCTTAAAATTTAAAAACTTGGTCCTGATTGCTATAATACTAATACTCACCCTTTTTTTCGGAGCACAGGAACCGAGGCTCTCAGCCGGAGCTCGGTGATGGTCAGCTAAGTCACACGATGCTTCAATTTCAAGTAATTATGGTTAAGACCAACAACAAATTATCTGAATTTTATTGGCTAATATTAAAAATATTTCGAATATTTCCCCTTTACTCGACCGTCCTCACTGTCCGGCCGTGCTTTTAATTTCTGAAAACAAAAATTTTAATGACCGATACGGCAAGCGAATTAACTACAAAAATTAGTACTATATGCATGGTACAATAGTACGTCTAATTGCGTAGCTGGATATTAAAACACGATCTACACAAGTTTTATATATACTGCAAAGATATTGACACATGATTTTGCGATAGTTCTTGTGAGAGTGACAGAATTCAGGGTACCTGCTTACAATCTAAAGCTCCTTTCTAGTTTCTATAAGATTAACAAGAAAAGGATATTTTCTTGCGAGATAACCATCTGTTTTGTTTTGCTCGCGCAAAAGGAACTGTTTTTAACATTGACAATAACCAACAATAAATTTGTATTGTCAACACCAGACGACGTGTAAGACCTACAGATATATGAGCAAGATTTTGTTTAATATTGTTTCTATATATCAACTTTACATCAGACGACAAATTGATATCTTATCGAGATATCGTTTTAAATTTACCTTTGACAGCCGTGGTCGGCCGGAAGTGAGCCTAAAAAGTCAAATGGAGCTCTAGTTTCTCACAAAATCCTGTTTCAATTAACTCGTATAGAGATTTACAGCCTGAATATACTCACTGTTTTCGGCGTCGTCTTTACTTCCAGTTTCACGAAAATACAAATCGATATTCTTAAAGCAAGCATATGTTTTGTCTTCTTCTTCGTCTTCTGCTTTACCTACAATGAGGAGGAATGGAAACAACATTATCCCGAGTTTGAAAGTTAACTACAAAGGAAAATGACGACTTACAACAGTCCATCACACCTCAGTTATAGACATGCATGCACTGTTATAGAAAGTGACTTTTGGGGCAGCTGGCACCTTGCCCCTCCACCCCCCACCCTGCCTGACACGCAATGTATCGATGTCGTACCTTGATTTGTCCCAGTCATAGCAGTATAAAGGCTGTATTGAATCAAACTTCTAAAATACAAAAATAACAGATTAATCTGTTAAATAATTTTTGAAATCTACTCTAGGAGGTTTGGAGGATACTGCCCCCCGAAAAATTTTGAAATCTCGGGGTAAATTAGAGGAGATTTTCCTCGTTTTGGTGATGATATTTTCAACGATATCAAAATCCTAGAAGTTAATTTTTTTATCTTTATTATTTTGGAAAAAGGGAAAATATACTTCCAACCACTCCGTCGTATTTTTAGGATAAATTGTCTCTTTTGCCACCCACCACCACTAAGCACCCTATATTGCAAGCCAGTTCAGCGTGTTGATTGGCCAATCGTGAGCAATGCAATGCGTGGAGATACAAACTTAAAAGGTTTCTAACTTGAGTGCGTCTATACTGTGTTTTCCTTATGCTATAGTGACTATATATTCTAGTGAATCAATTCAAACACGTCATGCACTCACAATGCCATTGTCTGAGTCCACCATTTGGCATAGTTAACAAGTGAGAATATCGGCTAAAAATAAAATAGAAACAATCAATTTTAAGATGCGAAAGAGCTGATTACACAACTGACGATCGTTGGAACTGCCGTCTTTGACTTAGTCAAATTGTCAGGTTTTGAGTTTCCTTACACCGAAGCAGTCTCCTTCAATGGTGATTTCAGCGTCAGACATCATGTTTAATTGTATAATTAAGGTATACATTAAAGACTTACATCCAAGAGTCTAACAGAGCTACTCGAATCTTCAGAACTTTTTTTACATGTTGCTTGTACATCGGTGAAGTTGTACCTATTATTGAACGACAAACTAGCTGTATATTTTCCCAAGGTTTTGCTATTTTTCATCAAACACGATGCATAAAACGAATGACATTGTAACTTGTGCTTATGTGTAGTGCTTGTAGTTGGGGACCACATGACCAGCAGCTGGTCAGCACTCACCCCAAATGCACATATATACCCCGCACTGGGTTCAGTCCCTGTTAATTGAAAGACTTTTTATCGCTAGAATTCCAATAACAACTCAACCTGTGGAGTTTAATGGTCATCTTACTTTTGGTAAACTTTCTTATCAATCAAATCTTCCATAACATATCCTTCATGTTCACCGAAGAATTGACCATTCTGCAAGGTGTAAAAACAATACACTCATATCAAACAACGAAATCAAATTGTTGGTCATTTTCACTATGATTTTGTGCTTTTAACAAGAAGAAAAATTGCACCAACTACAGGGTGAGTCAAAAAAAGTGACACCTTTGAAATTCAAATTAGCCGTATAGCGGCTGTAATGTGACAGAAGTTGCCTAAAATATTTCATGGGTATACGAAGCATATCATATTAATTAACCTAAAACATAAAGTTTGTTCCCATTGGGAGTTAAAATGCATTCTAAGCTCTGTAAATACAAAAGAATAGTTTTATCAAATCGTTTTTGTTGATTGTACATGGGAATTGTCATATTCCAGTCATAAGTTCGCAGCTAATTTGAATTTCAAAGGTGTCACTTTTTTTTGACTCACCCTGTATATCCCAGTGGCGTCGCCAGCATCGATAAGTGGGGTGGACATATTCATATATTCATGTTCACAGACCGTTAAAACAATCAATTTGAAAAGAAATGAGTAATGTAAAACACGAATATATGAATAAGTCCCCCCCCCACTTATCAAGCTGGCGACGCCACTGCTATATATCCACGTTACAAACATTTCCAATGATGAGATTTATAAGCAACTCATTTTGACAAAACTAATAGCTTAAAGGATATGCGTACTTAGCTAAGTTTAATACGAGCTGCCATATTCACAATTTCGAATACCTTACACGTATTCTTGGGTTTCATGTGACGTCATAATTCCAGTGGGGGTCATCTCGAAATCGAGACACAGTAAATTGGAGAGAGTTAATTGTTCGTTGTATGTGTTGGCTTTGTGCTTCGTTGCAAATATACGCAATTTCGTATCATTTGCTCACTGCTGTTCAGCATAAGGGTCGAAGCAATTAAGGTTGACCCCCAATTGTTAGTTATTGTCCGGCAATGTGTCCATGCAGGCATAAAATAAAACCGGATCTCAACTAAGTATGAAACCAAGAGTCAAATACTAATAACAATGGCAATTGACGGGGGTAGCAGTTTAGGTATATATGTCCTTCAGGATATCTTTTTTAAACCTTACCAAATTCGTTATAGCTAATTGCATTCATTATAAATTTACATGAGTAAATTAGGCACAGTATAAAGGTGACATATTCCTCTAATATTATTTTGTGAATAGTATTGATCCTACCTTGTTCTCTTCCTTCGACGAGACGATGTAGCCATTCTCATCCAATAGATAACAAAATATATCCTACAAAAAGATATAATCTAATTATAGCATCGAGTTTTGCAATTCACTTGAAAAGAGGGTATGTTTACCTTCCTTCTCATAAAACACCTTATATCAACATTTAGTTAATGTTCTATGCAAAAAATATATTTTTACAAACACAATAATACCGTATATTTCCTGCATTTTTGCAATCATCATTTCATGCAATAAAATAAAATCGAGTCTATTTACCTCATCGCCTTCACACTATAAGAATTAAGAAATACCAAGTAGATATTAATGAGTTACTCCTAACTATAGAATGATTCCAATGAGAGCGAATTAATATGCACTGGATATACCTCATTGTGTGTATCTTTAAGAATTCTTTTTAAATAAGACGATTCCATGTGAATTCCAGTGACTAGAACGGCACAAAAAGTCGAAAAAACATGACATTCACTGCCGTTTTTATTATACCCATGCATTACGTATATAAAAGAACTGATAACGCCCTTGGGTGTTGGTCCTATTGACATGCCTTGGATACAAATATTCAGTAAATGTTTACCTCCCCAAAGTACGTTTCCTTTTTTAGCAACCACAGCTTTACTAGCGTGCACTACAACAAAACAAGTATTGTAACACATTTATAATATATACAAAGCTAGTATATAAACCTAGTATAAACACGCGTGTTCCATTTTAGGCAGAGATTATTTCAATTCAGAGCCAGGAGTAAGTCTGGCGTTAACTATATATTGGGGGGGGGGGTATTAATGACAAGTAATAGCACATCTTTAAACTTATCGCATCCATTTTCGGGTCCGTCCCAGTCGAGGCACATCTGATTCCAGTGCAAATTTCACGAATCTAAATTACTTTACCTTCATTTGTACTAGGCGCGGAAAAAATTATAGGTTGAGTTTTCCAACTATCAGCGGCCCTCTCAAAATATTCCTGTTTTATGGATGTACTAAACGTTGTGTTTTCTGATCTAGAAAAATAAAGATGAAAGACATTGACATTATTTTTTTACACAATGAACGTTATTACGTTTTGCTTCGGTCAATATTTAACATTTAGTCGTCGAAAGCGAGGCGTTTACAAGCCTGAGCCGAAGGCGAAGTGAATATAGGCTTGTAATCACCGAGCCAGAGGCGACTAATTGTTTTAGTATAAATTTCGAGGGGTTTAAAAATAATAATCAACATAATTCATAAAAATTTATAATGACTTCAAATTTCTTCTTTGAAAAACAACAACAAAAAGCTATCGTCACTGACCAGTGAGTATCACTTCAGAGACAGCGAATTTTGACCAATTAGAATGCAGGAAAATCAATAATCACCTCGAAACTAATACTAAATGTGTGTCTTTACAACAGCAGCAAGGTATTAAGGCCTGGTTCGAATACAGGGTGTAATAGTACAATAGTACAAGAGTGTACTTCTATAATTGTGTAGCTCACAAAGAGAGTATCTTTTAATCATCGACGGTCAGCGATGGCTATATACTGTCGGTGTTTATACTGTTGAATGAAGTCTTTTGTTACCGACCACAAACAATACATCGCCGACTGTCGGTGACACCGTGACATATGAGAACAAGTCTTAACAATGATCAAAATCAAGATCATAGTGGAGGATGCATAGCTTACTTGTAAAATGTCAATCCTGATGTTGTTCCAATGAAAATAGCCTTAATCCTATCTGAACTATAAAAAGGTAAGGAGAAAATCTTAGGAAATCTGAAATAACAAGGACTAAAATTAAATTATTTCTGCAAATGCTTCTCCCGCTCGAATAAAAAATAAAAAATAACCATGTTTTAACAATGACAAGATTTCAAATTCTGACCTGCAATCATTTAAACGATAATTTCGTACCATTCTATTCTAACTAGGCTTGGGTTTTAATGGAGGTACACTATACACATTTCAAGTTCAGATTTCTTTGCAAGAAAATATTTGTACCTTATTTCCCCTGGCTTCCAAGCAGACCCAAGGCCAAGCTCAGTGATGTCGAAAATAACATGGTCGATCAAGTCAGTATTCTTTTCGCATTCTATATTTTTTTTTAAAAACACAATATACACACTTTTTATGACTTAGCAATGTAAATAAGGACGTCAAATGTCCTATCATATATGTACAGGTTTCTTTCAAATGATTTATCCTATCTCTCCCAGGGTAAAATACTTTAATATCTTGCTCTGTGTAGCAATAGTGACAACTAAACCCTCTCATTAAGACAACACTATATGTCTCATTGGGTTTTTCTTCATAACATGCAAAGCAACTGTATAGTCCTGTGTCTTACCAGACTTTTCCAGGCTGTTTTTTAACTCTGTCCAGTTGTTTATTTGTCCAGAGCAATAAGGCCTGAAATTATCAGATGCATGAAACTGATGAAATTGTTTTTTTCAAAACTTTATACTAAATAAACCAGGCAAAAACGCGAGTGCATAAAAAAGTTAAGGAACACAAAGAGTACAACAAAAAGATAAGTTACGTGACGACCTATTATAGCACATCATTCAAAGTAAAAGCCAAGCCATAGTATAATTATTTATGCATGACTGTCATGCAAGAGAAAAGTTTCGTTCACTTTTTTCCCGCGCCGAAAGTAGCTACAATTATCGCATATATAGTGACGCATACACACATCAAAAAACAACAATAAGACTATCTTTTATCAACCGATGGTATAGTATGGAACACGTTTTTCAGAAACTCACCAGTTTTTTCCAACTGAAATATTAATTCCTGCTTGTTGTAAAGCTTCGGACGCTTTCTTAATATCTAGACATGGAAAAACGAAACGAACTCCACTCCCTAGCTTTAATAATTTGCTATAGTAGATGAAAATGTGGTTTAATATATGGCAACATCCCACCTTCTATATAGGCGGGAATATAGGCGGGAATATAGGCACAATTATATACACTTGACATTTGTCAGTGTAAATAATAGTGCTAATCTAAATCTACTCATATCCTTGTTGTTATCAAATCTCCTATTTTTATCGAGGTCATCAGGTGGCTGAAACAGCTATGGTGCACAGTGTTCAACACAACCTATTCATGCAGGACTATGTTTTTGTATGAAAAACATGTGTAACTAACTACCTTTTTCATATTGGTTCTTTCTTTGTGGTGCACTGATTACAGAAGATCCATAGTCTGTCATAGCTATACCAACACTACAATAAGAATTCATTTTGAAATACAATTCATTAATATATACTATGGCCGTATTCTAAAAGACCGTGTTTTAGAAGAATAATTCTTTTCAGAACAGGCCAGGGAGAGAGGCACTAGAAATAAGTAAGCTTCCTAAATAAGTGGATCTCCCTATAGTCTCGCCAACTGATCAAATAACATGAACCACATAGACTGGCAGTAAATAAATATTCATATTATGTCAAGATATTTAAAGTTACGGTTGAATGCAATTTGTCCTCATTTTGCTCTAATGAATGCATATTAACAGCTAGGTAGTTTCAGGGACTCCAGGTGATTCCCGCCGAATATTAACATGGGGCCGGTTGTATGAAAGCCGGATAGCGCTAATCACCGGATAGTGATTTTTTCAATCGCTTTAAAATCGCGCGTTGTTGGGTATAACTTTGATTAAATCTTAGTATTTCTAAATTGAGGATTCTCTTTAACAATAGTTGGTTACAATTTACAAAGCTGAAATTTTATTGCGATTCAAGCATTTTTAGAAGGGTTGAAAAAATCACTATCCGGTGGATATAGCGCTATCCGGCTTTCATAGCTACAACCGACCTCTGACTCGTCTTGACTTTGTCGCTCAACAAAAAAAAAAAAAATAATATATTATATATATATATATATATATTATATATATATATATATTATATATATATATATATACCTGAACGAGGTGCTACTTTATATACCTGAACGATATACCTGAACGAGGTGCTACTTTATATACCTGAACGAGGTGCTATATATATATACCTGAACGAGGTGCTACTTTATATACCTGAACGAGGTGCTATATATATATACCTGAACGAGGTGCTACTTTATATACCTGAACGATATATATACCTGAACGAGGTCCTACTTTATATACCTGAACGAGGTGCTACTTTATATACCTGAACGATATATATACCTGAACGAGGTGCTACTTTATATACCTGAACGATATATATACCTGAACGAGGTGCTACTTTATATACCTGAACGAGGTGCTACTTTATATACCTGAACGAGGTGCTACTTTATATACCTGAACGAGGTGCTACTTTATATACCTGAACGAGGTGCTACTTTATATACCTGAACGAGGTGCTACTTTATATACCTGAACGAGGTGCTATATATATACCTGAACGAGGTGCTAGTTTATATACCTGAAGGAGGTGCCGCTGATGTGTTCGTATGAATAATTCAATTTTCTTTTTACAATACGAAACTAAAAAAGGTAAAAACTTTCCATTTCACTTGCCCAAAATCCCTGCAAGTCAACACAAATGATCCTTTGCGAATGTACACAGTACACACATACATCATACATCATATAGATCTCTAACATGATTTTTTTCTGTTTTGAATGTTTCTGTTTGGGAAGTTTTCTGTTTCCAACAAAAAATATTATTGGAAAATTGAGAAATATCCGGCTCCACGAAGCATTTTATACCTTATCATCATACTTCGCCAAGACAAGAGATCTTGAATACCCCAAGTCGTTTTTCTTTCCGTCTATCATCTCTTTCGCAAGCTTAATTAAGATCAACAGCAAGATTAGTTCCTGTTGCACCTCAACGGAATTATAAAGCCATCAAGAAATAACAAGTAAATACTCAACTTGCTTTACAAAATAGGATTAGTGAACGTTGATTTCAGCGTTGTCAAGTTTAATAAAAAATTCACCTAATAGACCTTTTCGGTAATTACGTTACAACATTGTCGTTTTAAACTTAGAACCACTGTAAATGAGATGGATTTCATGTTTTACTTTCACATTAAGCTATGTGCAAAGATGCAAAACATCATTCTATAACCCGTGCATGAAAAATAATTTTTAATTTTTACTAATAAGTATGGAATAAGCCATAACGCGGGAACGAGGCTCGCGGTCTTGGCCCCTCAGCCTCGTTCTCGTGTCATGGCTTATTACCACATTTCTTGGTCAAAATAAAAATTTTATTTCATACATGTGTTGAAGAAGGATGTTTTGCATCTTCGCACGTAGCTCGTGAGAGTAAAACTTGAAATCCATTTCATTTAAGGTGGTTCTAAATCTAAAACCTTGTGATGTTAAAATGTTGTCACGTAATTACCGTTCTGAAAAAGTTTATTTCCCGGGGGGATCAGTATTACACTCTTTTGAGTGTAATGTACGACTCAGTACGGCTGTTCAAAACTGTAGATATCTTCAACAATCCGAAACATAAATGACCTCTAATCAAAATTTTCCCATATTTTTCACATATATATAGTCGCCCACTTACCTTCTGATCTCTGTCGGGATCATCAAAGTGGGGCATGACCTCAGATAAGTAAACACTGATACGATCCTTCAATGTGGTTTCCTCCTATTTAAACAGAAATATTGTTATGATGAATACATCAGTACGCCAAACAGGAATGGAAGGCCAGAAATATAAAGGTCTGAGACCTGATTCTCAGGTTAACGTCACTTTTTTGTTGTGTCATTTGAAACTTTGCATGATCAATATATAACTGAACGTTAACGTATTATAATAAAGTTGTTTCTTATCTACATCGTACCTCTTTATTTAATAGTGGATGGAAGAAAACCAATCCATTGTTAGTTATTGCAAATGGATAACCGCCAGCACCCAGCTATACAAAGTTTAAAATTAAAGTATTTTGTTTATTAATTAACAAAGTTGTGTGCCTTACGTCGATAGGTTGGGAACGAGTTGGGAGTCTCCTGGGGCCGGTTGTATGAAACTCTTTAACTACATTTTGCATAGGTGAGGGAAAATCAGTTATGATTTTGTGGCACTTCACCCGATGTAGGGGTTTTTTAAACGGCCTTAACTTCGGGTGGAAACATACACAACTCAATTCAAGCCAGGGACAGGTTGATTCCAGTCGATTTCTATCGGAGGACTTTTTTCAACTGTTCCTGGCTTGAGTTGTGTATAATTCCACTCGGAATTAAGACCCTTTAAAAAAAACCCCTTACATTTTGCATAGTTAAATCCTATAGTTAACTCAGAAATACACAACTTTGATTGGCCAATTCTGTCCTTAACTACAGTCTTTTATGACAACCACGATACAACTGACTTCTGGTGATGCGAAACTTGCGCAAATATAACTCAAAAAATAATAACTCAGAAATAATTCTCACATGTGGCTCCGGAAACATGGCTAAAATCTCATCTAAACGAACATCAGAGCCAAGCACACCAACAAGTTTCTAGGGATGAAGTACATGTAATGAAATTAAAATGAAGTGTTTAAAAAATGAATGAACATAAACAGAACATTATTAAAAATAAATGAATTATAACTGGGAATGAAAAAATGTTTCAATTAACATAATTTTGTTTGCGCCGTTAATGCTTTTATGTAAAAAGTGCAACTATAGTAGTTGATTTATTAATAAATTTGTAACATTTATTAGGCATGAGCAAGTTTTAAATCAATGATTTCATAAACTCACTTTTAGGTTTTTTAGGATTATGCCTACCTTTCTCTGATCAAAAATAGGAAGTACAAGAGCCGACGTCATACCAAGTCCCTATATAATAAAATAAAACATTGTAAAATATAACATATGTATGAACGTTGGGGAAAAAATAAACCATATAAACCTTGGACCCAGATGCTGCATGAACGAGTATATATGCTTACGAGGGTCGCTTCCTATATACCCTGGGTAACGCACCTTGGTGTAAAAGCCAGAAAGCCTTATCTATAAATTCCTGAAGTCAGTACTGATAAAAATAACAGAGGCAACAAACCTGAGCGTCCGAATACATTGGTGTCCATTTGGCCTTCTCATCTCTTGAACGACTTAAAACTGTCACGTATTTCTAACAAAAAAAGAGTAGACGTAAGTCAATGAAAAATAAACCAAAGAAATGAAAGAATAATCAATGTTATCGTCATCTAAGCGTTTACGTTATCTATAATAATACTCATTTGTAAATATGTATATGTATGTATATATATATAGGCGAGGTGGTTACAAGCCAATATTCATGCTCAAGCCAATATTCATGCTTCAGAGAAAGTGAATCTTGACCAATAAGAATGCAGGAAAATCAATAGTCACCTCGATATTTATACTTTATATAGTACATCCACATAGATCATTACATTGACACTTGAATATAATAAGTCATTTCAATCAAATCCTTGCAGGAAAAAAAACATCCCACTGAAGAAATCTGTGCAACACGAGGATAATTATTTGCTTACCACAATGTTTTCACGAACATCACTCAACGTTTCAATCCTGTAAAAAAACCCTGAAAGGGAATAAAAGAGATGAATCAAACGCGAGCATACATGTTTCTTCTTTAAATTCACCACTTGCTCATGTTCAGCTTCTAGCCATGATCACAATCGATAATTGCAATGATTTACCATTGTTATTACAAGCAATCCACTTTACTGCTTCAAAAGGACTTCCGTTTTCACGACCAACCAAGTAAGTGAACACTCGAACCTAAATATACAATGGTAACTTTCCTGGTTACCTCCATCTCTAACTGACAGGCCAAAACCTTGCAGTTGTTAATATAGAATCTTCTCCTTATAGTTGGTTTATCTTCAGTACAAACCCCTCGTATGAATATTGTACACTGCATTATTGTACAAACAACTTACTTTTTTTTCGCTGTTATATTTATCAAAAACATCTTCAGCAACTGTGTCACCTTCAACACCATCGGTAAAAAATGCAATTGTCTGAGTGCAGTTCGAAGTTCTTCCAGACTTCATTTCACGTGCCTCCTGCAAACATACAATAAACAACACAGTTCTTAGAACTTCACAACAGTTATTCCTGAATTTGTTCTGTCTCCGCAAAAAAAAATTGTGTGAACGAGGAATTTAATTTACTTTTTCTTCCTCCCGGCATCTCGCATACATTTATTATAATTAATAATAATAGCAGTTATTCGTCAAGGCCCATAAATATTTAGACGAACTAGATGAACGGATCACTGCTGAATAGCAAAAAATATGCATGCAACAAACCTCAAGAGCTGTAAACGCCAGTTTAAACCCTTTGTCAACGTTAGCAACATTTTTTCCCTTGACAGAATCATCCATCACTGCAGCTTTTAATATCTTAAAATGACATATGCAAAACTCAGCAAACAAAGGACAAAATATATATGAAACACACCTAAAATAAGGAACTACAGAATAACCTTTCGTCCTTCACTTTGCGTCTGCCGACATTCATCGGCTGTTTCGATTTTGCTGCTTTTCAGGCAGGACGCAAAGGTTGCCCAAGCCAGACATAATGCATGGTTATACCATCTTTTAAACTCACTCTTTATACAAATCTTCACAAAAATAACTTTTCCCCACATCCCTTTGAACATGAAATAAAGATTTAAAGCTTAATTTCTTTTTGTTATATATACCTTCTTATTTCTCTCCGTGGCTTGTACTAAATGCTTCCAGCAGTCCTTTAAATAACGAGCATTTTTGTTGAACTAAAAAACAAAAACTTTTTTTAATTTGATAACAGACACTTGAATGTCGTCGACATTCGGGAAGAATTGACGCGCACATTAATATATAAATACAAAACATCAATTGTATATCGGAGTACCCCCTTACAGAAACAATGGTGACGAAATCGTTTTCTTGCAAAGTATCCAGTAATTGTACAACGGCTGATCTCATAATTGACAATCGGTTACCAATAACACTTCCACTCCTAAATTATACAAATATTGAGAAAAAACACTATTTTATTAACTCGACTTTCTTCCATACGCACTTTCGACGATAGCTTCTTCAGCACGTACAACCACTATAAAGGCACCATCAGTCCCTTCCTTGGCCATGCAGATAAATTTAGCACAACGTATATAGGCTAATTATTCACAACACACTTGTAAACATCGAACAAACACACAGACAGAATATAATAAACATTTTCATTTTTTATGCACAATGAACGAATTAGTTTTTCGAGTCATCAACGTGAATTACTTACAGATCAAGAATAATGACCATGTCTTTTGGTGAACTCGCACCATCAATATACCTGAATATAGAGAGGGTTTCATTTAATACAAAAGCACCATTCTATATTAGAGATACGTATGTCGGTGACTTTCCGTAAAAGTCTGCTGCATTAGGATGAAGGACAAAACATTTTCATTTCTATTTTGCCGGCGCGTCCGAAATATATACGCTTTTTCGCGACGCCATCTTGAATGTATTGCTTTGGTTATTGTTCTAGTTCTTGTCCCACTTACAAATAACCTGAAGAGGATATCGTTGTTTGTCACTGTCGCATCTAATCCTCTTAAATTTTTTTGCGCACACTAAGAGTTTCTAAAACTTACCATGATCTCTTACGTACGTCGAAATACTGTAAATGCGCACTGGCATTACGCCAAGAAGTTCCTAAAATTTAATAATTTTATACACCCGTTATACTCTGTGAATATATTTTGGGGGGGGGAAATTTGACAAGCCTCGTTTTTGCGTAAATAGCAACAGACTTCTTGTTGTTGAATATAGGTCTACTACAATCGACTAGAACTGATCGTACCAGGATACCAGCGATAGACTCCATTGGACAAGCCAATATACTGCCATGCTTTCATCTTTTGATTGTTATAATTTTCCTTAAATTTCGTATCTAGTTCCTTCGTCCAGTCAATCGAGTTCAAAATTTTAACAGCTTAAATAAAGGGAAAAAGATAAGATCACGGTTGTCAGACAGATTGACTAAATAAATTACGTCAAAACAAAATTAGTGCTTCCAAAAACAAAGAAAACCAAGTATAGATTTTCTAAAGTGAACACATAATTGGCATGAAAAATATACTATTGGAAAAAGCTAAATTTGGTGGGTAAAGTGTAAATTGTATATATATCATATTATACTTATTCTTCGCCAGTTTTATGAAAACTAAAAAACATGCATTTGATTCCCAGTTCAGACAGGCAAAAATACCCTAAAAGTAAAAATGTTGGGAAACGATTGTTCTATGATTTTGATCTCTTTTCAAACCTGCCTGAAGCTGAGTGCACAAAACAATAGATCTTTAAACATAAAGAGTATCTCACAGCAACATTGCGAATGCCATGCAAATGCTTCGCTATTTGAACTAGAGTTCTAACATACTATATTGGTAGAGGTCAGTTGGAGTTTGGACAGCGCTTGTTTGCAAAGTGACACGGACAGAAAATCCATCGGTCTCTCCCAACATGGACTCGTTCCCTTCCATTGCATTAAAGTACTCGTACTGTAAGAAAACGAACCAACGTTATTTAATCAAATATGTGGTAATAAACTTGGCCTAATATGGTGGAATTCGGCCCCAGCGACACTAGTGCCAGTACCGAGTAGTCAGTTGTAGTCAGTAGTGGACAAGTAATTTTCGACTACTCTGTCTACTCGGTTTATGGTCGTTTCGTACTCTTGTCATTTCGTACTTCTGCCGTTTCGTACCCAGGCCTGGTCGTTTCGTACCCAGACATGGTCGTTTCGTACCCAGACATGGTCGTTTCGTACCCAGACAAGGTCGTTTCGAACTTTACACATGAGGGACTTAATGAGCTAGCTTTGCAAAAACAAGAAGACGAATATATTTTATTTAAGCTCATTTCAACTGCCGAAAAATATATCCGTGATCTGTCCGTTTATTTTTTACTTATACAACTGAACACTAACTATTGACACAAAGATCTTTGTACACCGGGTTACATTTCCTTCAGAAACTAACTGAATGTTAAGTTCTACAAGCAAGGCTTCCTTATGAAATAGCTCAATTAGCCTGTAGAACGGTATTCCACGACGACCAAAATACATTCAACTTTAGCAGCACCGTTTCTAGCCTCCCAACACGTGTCGCACTTTGGAGCGCGTTTTGGAAATCAAAGACATCGCCAACAGTCCAACACGCGTACAAGACGAACACAGATAATCTTCGGTTAGGTCTTGTAAAATTTTTAAATCTCTCGGAGACAGGTTCTCACAACAAGAATGGCACCACATGCATTCGGCATCCTTCGCAAAAGATCGAATTGTCATTGCATTGCAGACTGCAAGTACCACATGGCCATTTGCGCTTAAGTGTGCGTGTAGACTTTCGGACCATTTTCAAAACGATAAATTTGAACTGCCGAATGAAAAACTTAAATGTTGCAATACAGAGTTTCAAGTCAACAAAGAAAGTGGTTTTTATCAACGCTTTTAATGAAAACTGAACTGATTGCAATAAAAGCAGTCATATAGCGTTTGAGTACGAAACGACTAAAATCGGGGTACGAAACGACCATCAATTAGAGTACGAAACGACCAGGGATATGGGTACGAAATGACAAGAGTACGAAACGACCTGACACCGTCTACTCAATATTGTCAATATACGCAATTGTCAAATTCATTCACCAGACTACATGCATTAATGTTACTCAACACCTCTGGCTTTTTGAGATGATGGGATTGTTGGCCTTCACTTTCGGTGTCTTAGTAACATCAATTGCTAGACAAATTGCTAGACAAATTCTTAGTCCCTAATTTCTATTAGTATACTCACATCTTCGCCTAAATCTGTCTTTATAGTGTGGTTTTTGTAAACCAGCTCAGCATATTTTGCCATGTCCTACAATAATAAAATACTTTGTTTTCATGCCATCCTCTGCGTCAAAAAGACGTTTCGTGGCACCTTTTTGATACTTGATAACGCCCCAGTCGCCCCTTCAACCTATTTATATGTCTCACATGACCCATATCTAAGGGCTTATGCAAAGGGTTTATGAATTAACAAAAATCAAACTGATTTTACATCGTATCTGCAACTTAACTATCTACAACGAAAACTATATGACGAAAACTAAAGGTATACTTGAGGACAGTGATACCCAAAACAATTGCATTTTACTGGACTAACACAAACGAGTAGCTATATAGTCTTTAAAACTATGCTGCATGAACAGCTAGTATTTGTTATAAATGCTATGTGGACAAATGGGGAATTGAATAAGATGTGGATCCATGCATGAATGGATGAAAATGGCTCTAGTGAGTATTTATTTATTATATTTAGTATATGGAATTGTATGTTGCTTCTTGTAATATTGTTAAGCAATAATCAGCGAAATGTCACATGATGATACCACAATAACACAATAGTGTCATTAATTAGAATGCATCATTTGATTCATTGTCATTGATATTTGCTAGCAAGTATGCCATAAGACAAGACAATTAGTATTTCTTCATGGCAGATGTCAGACCAGGAGGAAAGAAACAAGATATACACATTCCCTGCCCTATTTACAATGTCATCAAGTTGTTATCATCAAATTGAGGGTTCACACAATTCTTTACTAGCCTTCTTTCCTATTACTCCTGCCATTCCGCTTTCTTCGCCCTAGTCATAGCAGACATAGCCCATTTGAAAAAACACATGCATCCTTTGCTGTCCTCACTTGCCTCCCTCCCACCATTCCCCACTTGCCCCCCCAACATTCTCATATTGTTTAAAATAAAAATCATTAAGTTGGTTAGAAAACTAATATAATTCAGTTATAACAGTTGTCTTGCAAAAATTTTGCAAAGTAGGTTTATAGAGTGCGTCTAGTGTATGGTTTCAAAAAAAGTGGTGTCGGAAAGTCCCATACATAAATCTTTTTATTCATGAGTATATTGGAGATGCATGCGCCCTAGGGCAGCTAGGGTGAGCACCCTGATGTATCATTGCAAAAATGGGATGTCTACACTAGCAATTTCTATAAGATAATTAATGCACTGGTTGGATACCTGAAACTTTTTAAACATTAGGTTTTTTTATTGCTTTTTGATATGCCTTAGCGATATAAACTTTGGTGTTAAAAGATATTTTGGAAAGTGATTTTCCAATTGCCCACCCTCTTTAATTTCGTATATGAATTTATAAGGATATATAACTTGTTCAGTCAGAATATGCATATAATTAAAACCTTCTAAATCTGAGAAATGTATGCTTGCAAATACTTTTTTACAAAGTATTTCATCAAAAAATTATCCCAATTGATTAAATACATTTTGCCTTTTGGTTCCTAGCTTGGTTGAGGGAGACCCTTTTAAACACCTGTCAAAAGTTCCTGCAATCCACTTCAGGTTCAAACAAATTGTCATTTATTTTTTGTTCTCAGTCACCAAGTAAATGCTTTTTGCATGTGCATATAAAGGTTTCTAACTTCTGGAAACTCTGGTTTATTAATATATATATATTATATGGATGGTTTTGTACAAAGCTTTACAATATGTGGCAATAATGAAAACAAAATTTTAAAACAATACCTACCTCAGCTGTGGATGTTCGATTCTTGAATAACATTTTTAAATTACTAATATCCTTATCTATTGCCGTCTTCGCGAGCGATTTCCCATCAAGATCTTTCTGCAATAAATTCATATTAGCAAACAGTTTATAATGAAGCAATGAAAAATGTATTCTCAATCGTATATACAAACGTCATATATTTATAACGGTTTGAATGAACAAATGCTGGCAAAAAAACTTACCACGATGTCGGACAATGTCGAATAGTTTACTGCTTCATTCAGAACGCTGGCCAGTTTCACGCTTAAATTATTTGCGACGGTGCGAGTTTCACTGTAGAAATTTCAAACGTTTAAAACAGAAAAATATATACACATACATATAGCAGACGCTTTCATAAAAAAATATATTATATTATCTAACTTACTCATCTGCGCCATAAATGCTTCCGAACGAAGCAAAGATGAAAATTATAGCAAAATTGAACAAACTCATCGCTTCCCGTTTTGAACGTCGTATGCGTGGACAAATGAAAAACACAGCACAATTAGATGCAGCGGATTATTTTCCCGAGACACGTAGAAAATAGAAAGATATGAATGTTTAAAAGCTTATGTTGACACAAATGCAGATGTTGTGTGTTATAATATGCGACAGGTGGTTCACTCATACAATAAACGCAATTGGTCAATCCCGTATATTGAATAGATAAACGAAGACATTTCCACATATATAACAACAAATAGTCTACAACTAATTCGAAGATGAAGAGAATTCGAAGATGAAGAGGAAAAACGAAATGAAAAATAATAAAACATATTCTTTGCCACTCAATTGCACACGATGGGCATAGCATGTTGACTAATTAGTGACAATAAATTACAATTCCATTTTGGATTATACACTTTTTGGCTTTCATTAATTACTTTTTTGCAACAATCTCATGTTCTAAATGCTAGGCTATATATTATTAGGTATTTCTCATGCCTGCTGTTTGTATCGAGGGCATCAGGAACACCGAATGATGCGAGGGCAGAGTTCAGACTTTCATTAATGGGCACGGCGCAATGCTATCGTTTACCTCTCTCTGATATTATTTCAGAGGTCTCTGGTAAAGGACCACCCTGGAAGGAACGGATCGAGTTTGGGTTTTGTTCCACGCGCCATCTCAAGGTCTACAGGGTGTCCCCAAAAAACACAACACTAAATATTCATAAATACTCAATCTTTTGTGTTCGACTATACATAGAAAGCGACGAAAGCGAATATTTCGTGAATATTGGGTGTGGTTGCGTTTTTTATTCACTCGTACTCATGAAATGCTTAGCAGCTTGTCAATGTGCTTGTCCTTGGGATCACGTCTGATGAGATCGTGACCTCATTTTCGTGTAAAATCCATATGCATATAACATACTCTGGCACAATTGGCCTACCGGTAAACTCCCAAGCGCCAAAAAAACATTAAACTAAAAGAAAACACTATGGGACGGAGTTCAACTGTCGATGTTTTATATAACAGGAATGTCGTGAATAGTTTGAGGAATGAAACGTTTGAGGAATACTACCAAACGCATTTTCGGAAGAGTTATTCTAAGAAAAGACGGTACACATTTTAAGCAGGTATATGGTTTATTATCACACTGACAATATTTCTAGCCTACACATTTAGACCAAACCGGGTTTTGGTCTAAATTTTCACACAAGCCCCAAATTTAATATAACAATCCCACTACCGTCTCCAGATAGTATCCCCCTAGCCAATAACCGATTATCTAGCCATCTATATACACGCATAGTGCAAACTGCAATGTACAGGTAGTGAATATTTATAGATATGGAATGTTCAGTTAACGGGAAACATCGTGGTTTCTTCACGAGCTTTTCTTTTTGCCACAAAACCGTGTTCATCATCATCACCAAGCCTATGACAAAACGAAATTTCAGTCTCAAAGAACTAATAGGTGGTAGTTTTTTTGACGTGATCTGACGAACTTCAAAGAGTATCATGCAAGGGCGGACTTTAGCCCTATACGTCAAGGGTTTTTTAGTGAGGGGTAGTGACCCGAACTTTTGTTTCAAACCAAAATTCTTACATCTCAATGTCATTTTTAGTATATTTATCATGAATAATTCATAATTTCAAAATTACAGTTTTTTTCCTCGCTTCACAATGTCACATGACCTCCCATCCCGGGGGAGGGTTATCTATCATTGTCTAGGAGGGTTGTAGCACTCTACCATAGTATTGTGGTTTTCGTGGAGTTGAGCCGGAGACCTCACGCGAAAAAATAACGATTCCCTTGTTAACTGTTTTGTATTAAAACTGTGGTAAATGGCATAGGTATATATATCTGATAAAAGGAGAGGCGGTAGGAGTATAGTCATTGTTGACTGCACACAGGTGGGAATATTCCATAACAACAAACACCTTGAAGAAAAAGCACATGCTACTGTAGAGATTGTATTCTAGTAAACTTACGACACAGATGTTGATATTCCTTCTTGCAGTTCCCCAACCATTTCACGCAGTCGCTTAGCACACACAAGTTTCGCTTCCTCGTGATCAATAATTCTCATTGGATAATCTTTTCCAATGATACAACCGGCTGCTTGCTGGACTTCAATAGGAGCATTCCAGGGATCATAAATGTACTCCGCGGGAAAGTTACGCAATTGCGGAATATATTTCCTAAAAGAGAAGGTGCATACCTCATTAATATTAGCAATTAAGTATAAAAATCGTTTAATGTTATGTCAGCGTTTACAGGTCTGCTGGAATCCCGATAATTGACACATTTTTCTCAACTGTTCCTGGCTGATGATGTGCATGATTTCCACTCGATATTAAGACGTCACCCTTCGAATTATCCTACAATCTACATCAAAGAGGTGACACAATATCGTATATATAGGCATGTAGCTAGAAATACCGTATTAACATTCCTTGTGGATCATGTTGTTTTCCGGTGTTGACTGGACAGTAATACTTGTTACTTTTGATGAAAAATGAACTGCAAGAGATCATCAGCCAGTTGGCAGCACATAGACTCCATTCAAAGTCGATTTGGAATTCTTGACATGTCTACAATATTCACACATATCACACATATAAATACACACACCACATTGATCTAAAGGATTAAATTCGCGTATTGAGGATTTACTTGGCTGGGTTCAATATACTATAATATATATTAATCGATAGTAATCGATCTGGACAAATGTGCTTTTTTTTAACTGAAGGGTTTGAAAAGGTATTAACAAAATTAAACATACCTTAAACCCCTCTTCCCAGGATACCCAGAGACAACCTCTAGTCAAGAAACATGCGGCTGCTTGACGCCCAAGATGATTTGACCAACCTTCTTTACGTAGCTGTGTTTGGATAGCATCAATCCAAGGAAAGCCAGTTTTACCCTACAATATGATCATACTATAATAAAGCTCCTGTGTGTACATAAATGGCGTGCGTCAATTGATTGTTTGCCGGTCTAAAATCACTCTATATATTAGACAGCAGCCCAAAGTAAAGGTTCAAATTTAAGATTAATTCTTATTTAAGAACCCGGACACCCTTCAGGGAACACATCGTAAATAAATTTTGTTTACACTATAGTTACTCATTCGTAACAAGTACGAAAGATCGGCCCGAAGCTCATTTTAGCGCTCAGGGGCCGGCTGAGCCGGGTCATAGGGCCCCGCTTACCTCGCGCCAGTCTTTGAGGAAATCACGGTTAGATTCCCAAGGAATCTGAAGACAAACAGGATTATTCTTCATCTTGTCAAAGAAAAAATTGCGATGGCCCAGCGTGAACAAAAAGTCACGGAACATCAATTTCATCAGGATATTAATGATAAACTGATTTTCGTTGGTCTGAAATGAAAGTACGTAAGAATGAAAGTGTCTTCAAACAACTCTGTATCGTTATAATATTCAAATACTCGCGAAAATTACTCGCGAATCGCACAATTAAAGAATTGATAATATCGTTTCATCTTTAACAAGAATTGTTACCCCATGCACCCACATTGTAATCGATGTACACGTGATCCCTTCGCGTACATGCAAACGGACGTGCAAGTTGTTCCCGGTTGATACTAACAGGACTAAAAATTGTTGTGCTGCACTGCACCAAAACCATGTTTGTTATCAAGTGGCAGTTGAAGTTTGTTAGGCTTTAAAAGGTTACTGCACGTTGTGCTGCGTCCACCTGACAACGAGGTTAGTGAGATGCAGCACAACACTTTTCAGTTCCGTTTTTTACTAACAATTTGAGGAAGCAAAACGTTAGGTCATCAACGTAAGGAATTAATCCATCTGCATAGTAGCTAAAAATATTTGTACTGTAGTCGAATTCAAATCTTCATATACTCGTTTTTAAAATATTTTGAAATGTAAAGACGATAACAAAAATATGTAAACAGAATTTAGATTTAATTTTTAAACCCATTCCTCGATGTTCCTTCCAATAAGAACATTTTTTTATTGCCTTACCTTTTTCCTAAGTTTGCTCAAAGTATGATACATCAATCGGGAGGATATACACCCAAAACGCATGTAAGGAGACAAAGCGGTAACTTTCGGAAAACAGGCATCTCCAAAACTATCAACGTCTGCATGTTCATTCTCAATCTAAGAACAGATAATATCAGTTATAGCAAGCCGCAAACAAACAATAGACTTTTCTTAAGATGACGTAGTCTAACGTCACATGATGTCTCCGCAAAACTAACGAGCTAATCAAACTTCGTGTAACATTATACTTTCCGCGCTTGACGTCACACTGAGAAAGGCCTATTGAAAAACAGCTTTTTTCAATAGGCTATCAGCTACACGGGCGATTTTTGTCAACGATATTTTCTTTCTAGTGTATGTTATTTAGTGGACTACGCACACAGTTGTGTAAGCTTGGTGAAGTAAAATATTCTAAACTACCACGATCTACTATGTCTACTAATCTACTCTGTTAAATTTACTCAATAGCATACACCAGAAAGAGAACATCGCCGTTATAAACATAGCCACAGGTTAATATACCTTCTTAACAAGAATATCAAATCTTCTCAATGCTTCATTTTCTCCTCCTTTCCAAACATCCAAACCCTCAACGTCTGCAGTAGTCATTCCAAATTCCTCCAACTGAGGCAGTTCATAACCTGGCACAAAAGGACTGAAACAGCCGTGGAAAGACGTGGAATCTAATGGCAGTAAAGGATTCTCTGGTTGACCAAGTTTTTTTACTGTGGAGATGAAGCGTTTGAATGTAAATGGCTGAAGACTATCGTTAGATTTGACGACACGTAAGGGAATGCAACACGACATTAGGTTGGGTAGAAACCGGGTATAGTATTCGTAGGAGCATTTACACAAACTTGCGTTCATTATTAAACTTGCAGAAATTACGTTAACACGCGGCATGAAATATCGAGCTCGACTTTAAGCTGTAGCCCTAAACTTCTTTAACTTTCCTTTGGCTCAACTCTTTTCTAATATCATTTTGTCGTTTGGGGCGCTTCTCAGCTCGATGCATCATCACACGGTATAGAGTACAAACGAGAAGAAAATATTTCATCTGATATACAGTAAGGTGTGATTTACATACTTAGGAATAGAATAGAGAGTATGTGATACTTTAGTGACGACTTGTATATCACACTTCTTTGCTAATGCAACAACAGAATCCTCAAGTTTCTTCCCAAACGGCTCCGTATCTTCCTCCATTGTTAATTTTGTCACTC